TTTATTTCCAACGGTACAATGCTTAAGAACAATTTTGTATTAGAAGGTATGATGGATGGAAGAGCTTTTACTTGGGAACTTTTGAGACATGTAACAGTTTAAGCTATATTATTTTTCTGTAACTGCTATTTGCCTTATTTTTTTTTAAAATGAAGCAAAAATAAAAAGGAGAAACCGATTCCCGAGTAATTCGAGAATCAGATCGGATGAACATGGTAGGTTATGGGTCGCTTCCAAGACAAATATGGTAAGTTTCAAGTTCCAAAAACTAGGAACCGATTTTAACAGGATAAATTCCAAGTTTCAGATCTAGAACCTACCCACCTTGAACCGATCACCGCTAAAAAGAACATTAGTTTTCTGTGTTTTAATATTGCAAAATAGCAATTATAGAAAATTAAATTATTTTTGTAACTCTTCCTATCAACTAGTTCTTTAATGTTATCAAGTCACTATTAACTAGTTCTTTAAAAGTTCGCATTTATTTTGTTCAAAAAAGGAAGATTCATGTGAAATGTGATACAATTTAACATATAATTTGTGTCAAAATACATATTCCAATTTTAAACAAATGAAAAAAATTCACGTGCTACTAGTAACAATTAAATTGTCTAATATTAGTATTCTTTGACTAACCGATTATCTATTTTTACCGTGAAAATCTCAAATTTTGAGCAAAGTTCTTTATGTATTATCTTTCTTATATTAAATGACATCTTAAAAATGTCACTATTATCTACCATGACAGCTTCATATTTAAAGAATATTAGTGAGCACAACTCATCTGTGTATCATGTATTTCTATTAGTTAAATCGCCTTATGGTTTGTGTTTCATCTCAAACTCATATGGCCATGTGAAGTCCTTTCAAAGGCATCTCTTGCCCTGTTAAATTGTGAAGGGGAAATATGCAAGAAAAAAAACGTTAGGTGGGTCCAAACCTATCCAATTCTACATAGACCATCTATTAAAATTATGTCAAGCGGCAGTTTACCTTGCATAAAATAAAAGAATTACTCTTTCCTCCCCCTTTCTCCCCCTCTCTCTATCTTCTGCACAATCCTCGGCCCCAGCTCAGCTTTGTGCGCCATCCCGGCAGCCTTGGCTGTCGAACTGTCATCCCCGCCGCGCCACCATTGCGGTAGTAGCTGCCGCCCATTTCACTCCACTCACCCTCAGTCCCCTACTCCTCGTCTCGCTCGGATTGACCACCACCCGTTCTCTCTCTCTCTCTCTCTCTCTGAAACCCTCGCAAGGATCACCACAGCCGCCGCCGAGCCCTCATTACCTTGGATCGAGATCGATCTGTGCTGGTCAACCTCTAATTAGCCTTGGCCCCAGCCTCGGTTCGAGGATGCGGAAGCACCGACACGGGCTCCGTGCAATTGAACAATTCTAATGAACAATTAGAACTTGGCTAATGAATAATTCTCCAGTATCAATCCTACCAATTCGTGGGAAAAACAAGCACAGAAAATGGCTCACAAGAAGTTTATCACAGGATCTTGAGAGGATTTTCAATACACAAGGAAAATTGCTGCCCAAGAGAACTACAGACTATTGATAGAACAACGTCATCGGCGATCAGTGCGTCCTGCTCATGACTACTGACTTCACAAGGCACTTCAAGACTCATCCTTTTGGTTAGACATCTCTCTTCATTGGCAATGTCCGAATACGTATAGCTAAGCAGGCACATCTCATCCTTTTGGTTTTCCAGGCAAAAGACATCTGATGCATAAAATTTGTTAACAGCATCCAAAGATGATAATTCGCCACAGTTTTTGCGTCTGAATTGAGCGACACCAGAAAATAGATGATGTGTATAGCAAGGGCAACATAAAAATGTCATCGACACCTCAAAGTTTTGCATTCGGCATTCCTCACATCACAAACCATTTAATCAATGCAACTGAGCTTCTTGGCAACTAGTTGCTTCTTAATGATTGTCAAATCATGATACTTCCAACAAACAACGAACATGCAGCCTCCCGCAACATGAAGCCACTTCTTACTCTGTACAAAATGAAGAGTACATTACAACCAAGAAGAATAACTACAATCTTCCGATAAACAAGGGTCATGTGATATTATCACCTTCGCGTGAAATAAAAGAAGCTAAGACTACCAGAAAAGGATGACTAAATGACCATCCGTATAAATACAAAGCCTTGACTAAAATAATTCTTCTAATTGCAGGTACTAATATTGGACTAACAATGATAACCAAAAAGCCATTTCCAAAAGACCATCCAAAACAATACAGCTCCAAGAATACAAGCTCAACTTTAGAGTGCTCTAACATAAACAGATGGTTGCAATGCAAATTCATAGATAAAGGACAAAGGCTGCTGAATCTACTCACCAAGAAATAAGCCCCATTGCAAACAATGATATCCATTCATTGTCCAAAAACTGCCGGAATATTCAACCTCACAATTAGCTTAGCGAGAAAATTCTCTTCTCCAAAAGAGGAGAAATTGGAACGAAACAGTCAACTACTCAAAAAGCAGGATTTTTGGTTAAAACAGATATCCAGATTGACATTGTCCATACAACCAAGGAGGATGGTTCGTGCAACCAAGATGGTTCAACGATTCACAGTTCATTCTTAGTAGGGACGGAAGTATTGGAGGCACAGAATATACAGTTGACTAGATTCAAAATATGGCCAATCTGAAAATGCCACCTCTAAACACAAAGACTTGAATGAATTTTTAACCTACATGAGGACTTCTCCACTTCCTCAAAAGTTCATCATACACATGTAACTTTCTGGCTTTGGAAAGGCTCTGTTTCAATTTCGACAATGTGGAAGAGGACAATTCAATTCCTCTTTCAACGATATCCTCGGCATATTTGACTGCTTCAGGGAGCCTGTCAATATCAAGAAGCCCCAAAATCAAAATATTTCCAGTCTCATCCAAATCGGACCTGTAGTACTCGACCATCCACTTCCAAACCTTTGTAGCCGAGTGATGGTCTCGTATATCTATAAATATCCTGGCAGCTGCATTGCAATTGGCCAGGCTTGGCACGCATTCATTTTTCACCATCTCTGTAAACACTATAGAGGCCTCCTTTAGTTTCCTGCATTTGATCAAGAACTGAAGCAAAATATTGTAAGTTCTATCATCGGGAAATGCCCCATTGTAGACCATTTCATCCAACAGCTTCTCGGCTACATTGATGCGGTCAGTGTAACAATGGAAAGCTATCATTGAATTATACATTTCTGTATCCGGTCTACACCCAACTCTTCCTACCATAGCTTCCCATAGAAAGTCGGCTCCTTTAGAATCAGTACGCTTTATACACTCCTCCAATGCATTTCGAAAGAACTTCATCCCTGGATAACACCTTTGATCGCTCATCGTCCGGAAATATTTCAATGCTTCAGACATCCCACTAGGACCCTTTAACAAAGTACACAAAAAGGAGCTGTAGGCAGGCACGTTGGCAGGGTCCCAACCGATTTCTACCACCATCTCGGCGAAAGTCCGCCTAGCACCAGTCACATTCCCTTCATTCTCCCAACCCTCCAACAATATTGCATACGTATCCGCGTCCGGCCTAATCCTCTCCTTCACGATTCGTAAGAAGTCCACTGCATCCAAAGTCTTACCGTCCCTGCAAATCGCGCTAATCAGCGAATTCAATGCTACCACATCAGGCGGCATGCCGTATTGGTCCATAACTTCAAAAGTCATAACAGCTTCTTGCAAGCTACCGGCAATCACGTAGCTACTGAAAACCGAAGCGAAAGTGGCGAGCGAAAGCAACCCTTTTTTCCGCATCGACTTCACGGCATCCCACATCGCATCAAACAGAGAGTTCTTACCCAACATGTCCACCACCAAGTTCCAAGCGTACGGGCTGTGGTCGTCCTTGAGCTGGTGCCCGGACCACCGGAAGAACTTGACGGCGGAGCCCGGGCAGCCGTAGGACAGCTTGAGCACCTCCTCCACATCTTCTTGCCCGACCCCGATGCCGGAATCTTCGAGGACCTTCTCGACGGCGAGGGAGGGGGTTCTGGCGACGATTTCGCACAGAACCCTGATCCTGGGCGGCAAATCGGGGACGTCGAGGTACGAACTGAAAGTCTGCTGCTTGCCCACTTCTTGTTTCGGGCCGATGCGGTGGGCTTGAGGATGAGGACGTGGGTACGCTGGGGATTTCGATCTTGACCCCGGCATATTCAGAGAGAAACGGCGCTCCTTGTCGAAGGGCGAACTGGGTGGCGGGGAACGGGAGCGGCGGAAATCGCGGTACGGCCGCTTCCGGCCGCCGGCCATTGATCCTCCTCTTGGGTAAAGCTATGCAAGATTTGCAGAGGGTTTATGGTAACGGCAAGGAAAAGCCCCGATCGAGAAGAAGAAGAAAGAAATCAGAAGGTATGGTGTGGGGCGAGACGACAATCTGATTTTCTCCTGGGAAAACGCTAAAGCGTGCCGACTGTCTGGGCCGAAACATGGAGCCGACCAGGGGAATTTACGAACATGCCCCCCCCGGGTGTGTTTCTCTTGGAAGTTGCCATCGATACAAAAAAACACGCAAAATCGGTTTAACAATGAAAAATCCCAAATTGGTACAGGTAAATTTACCCCGAAGTAAGTTTTTAACTATCAAAATCTTCAAACTGGTATATATGTGATAAATTTACCCTTTCATTTACTTTTTATGAAGAAACTCTCTCATTTACTTTTAAGCAAGGTTATATGCATCGAAATATATAAAAATTCTTAATTTTGATAAACGACATTCGATCCATAAGTAGATTGGGGTTCTTATTTCCACGACTGCTTACGTAACAGGCGGTAATTCTTGGAAAGTTTATAATAATGGATACAAAATCACTTTCTTCCACCCTTTTGTTTTTGTTTTGGTCACGCTTTCTTCCCTTAAATTGATGATACTCATCTCCTTCACCGTCCCCATTTTCTCCATAAATCTATTTTTTTTGGAGTAAATCTCGTGTTCTTGAAATTGGCCGGTCCAGTGTCACGAGAGCGAGTGCGCACGTGCGCGGCTAAAAAGCGATATTTGTGCCGTTCCGGCTCGTTTTTGCTGAGCTCACTCCGACGGTTCAGCTTCCAAAAAGGCCTCTCGCCCTCAATTTTGCCCTAGCCTCGCCGGACCCGGAGCTCCTCCTCCGATTGCCTCCGCCGTCCGCCGTCCGTCGTCCGCCGTCCGGTTCCAGCGAGCGAGCCAGAGGAAGGGAAGCGAAATGAGCGATCTCTGCCAGTTCCCTGGTCTAAACCTTCCGGCGCCGGCGCCGGCTCCGGCTCCTGCTCCGGCTCCGGCTACGGCGCTGGCTCCTGCTCCGGCTCGGGCGCCGGCTCCTGCTCCGGCTCTGGCTCTGGCTTCGGCTTCTACTCTGGCTGCTGCTCTGTTTCGGGCTCCCTCGGCTTCTTCAAGTAAGTCTCTCTCTCTCTCTCTCACTGAAAGTTACGTGCTTTGCTTGAAAAGACGCCCGTGGAATCTGGGGAGGAAGTGTGAAGTTTCGGTCTCGAGAAATGCATCGTTAATTGGATGACGAAATGACTCTGTGCTTGACAAATGCCGCGAAATCCGTTTGGTTGGATGAGGTGAGACGAGAAAGTTTTGACGGAAAAGAAAAACCTAGATAAGTACTAGCTTGCTAGGATGACTGGTACTATTTTGAGTCCTTTTTTGTTTTTTCTGATGAACATCGGTCCATGATGAAGATTGATTAGCTTCTGCATTACCTTTAGTGGGTGCTGATCAGGATATGTGAGGAGTCGGCGTTGATAAATTGATTGACCAATTTCTTCAGGCGAAGGCGCTTAAAATCGGTTTGCCTCTATGCTGGAATTTTAAATTGGTTGAGGTATATAACCGGGTATCTAAGTCGACTACGACGTTAGCAGAAACAGGGGAGTGCGCAATTCTCAAGTTTTTTTCTGATAATAGCTGTTGGTTGAAGATGTGGCAGTTTCTTTGCGAAATACTCTTTAATTACCATTGCAAAAACAGACAAGATAAAATGTCGTTTATTATGGAGATGAATTTGGAGACTAGATATGGTTACTACAGTTCCTCTGTTCGTCCCCCCATGGGAAACGCCGTTCCTCACATGCTATGATTCCTTTTTCTCATGATCTGTAATGGAAAGCTGTAAAGAGTGCGGCACAGGCATCGTTCTTCACTATGACAGTTGCCTATCTCGTTTTATCAGCTGTGCCTGTCAGAAAGGGCAATCTCAGTCAATTTCCTCAACCGGAACTTTCTCCTGCTGGGCCTGCTCTGGCTCTGGCTCTGGCTCTGGCTCCACCTTCATCTCAGGCTCCCACGGAAGCTCAGGCGTTTGACCCTTCTTTGCGTAAGCCTTGCTGATGAACATTGATTTATAATGAGATTTGCGACAGCATAACGTAAACAAGATTGATTAGCTTCGGCATACACTTAAGTGGGAGTAATAAACGTTGTCCTGATTGAAAGGATTTATTACTATATATGTGGACATTGAACAACTTGATTCTCCAATGGTTTATAATATGATCAGATTATATGAGAAATTGGCATTCATAAATTGATTGACCAATTTCTTTAGGCGAAGGTGCCTAAAAGCTGGTTTGCCTCTTTTCAGGATCACAAATATGGTTGCGGTATTTATTTATAACCTAATATTGAAGTTCAATGGTGTCAGCGGAAACAAGGATAGTGCACTTCTAATGTTTTGATCATAGCTGTTGGTTGATAGATGTGGATTTTCTTTGCTAAATACTTCTTACTTAACCATTCCAAAAAAAAACAAGATAGAGTGTCTTTTGTTGCGGAGATGAAACAGGAGGCTGGATACAGTTCAGGACAGTTCCCTCAGTTCATCCCCCATTAGGAAAGGCCGATCCTCACGTGCTATGATTCCTTTTTCCCGTAATTTGAAATGGAAAGCTGTAGAAAATGCTGTAGAGGCATCGTCTTTCAATATGACAGTCACCTGTCTCGTTTTTTCAGGTGTGCCCGTCAGAATGGAGAATCTTAGTCAATTACCTCAACCGGAACTTCCTCTTGCTGAACCTGCTCAGGCTTCGGCTCCGGCTCTGCCTTCATCTCAGGCTCCCAAGCAAGCTCGGGCATTTGACCCTTCTTTGCGTAAGTCTTGCTGATGAACGTTGATTTATAACGAGATTTGCGACAGCATAACGTAAACAAGAGTGATTAGCTTTGGCATACACTTAAGTGGGACTAACAATCTTTGTCCTGATTGAAAGGATATATTACTATATATGTGGACTTTGAAGAACTTGATTCTCCAATGGTTTATAATGTGATCAGATTATATGAGAAATTGGCATTCATAAATTGATTGACCAATTTCTTTAGGCGAAGGTGCCTAAAAGCTGGTTTGCCTCTTTTCAGGAATCACAAATATGGTTGCGGTATTTATTTATAACCTAATATTGAAGTTCAGTATGGTGTCAGCGGAAACAAGGATAGTGCACTTCTAATGTTTTGATCATAGCTGTTGGTTGATAGATGTGGAGTTTCTTTGCTAAATACTTCTTACTTAACCATTCCAAAAACAAACAAGATAGAGTGTCTTTTGTTGCGGAGATGAAATAGGAGGCTGGATACAGTTCAGGACAGTTCCCTCAGTTCATCCCCCAATAGGAAAGGCCGATCCTCACGTGCTATGATTCCTTTTTCCCGTAATTTGAAATGGAAAGCTGTAGAAAATGCTGTAGAGGCATCGTCTTTCAATATGACAGTCACCTGTCTCGTTTTTTCAGGTGTGCCCGTCAGAATGGAGAATCTTAGTCAATTACCTCAACCGGAACTTCCTCTTGCTGAACCTGCTCAGGCTCCGGCTCCGGCTCTGCCTTCATCTCAGGCTCCCAAGCAAGCTCAGGCATTTGACCCTTCTTTGCGTAAGTCTTGCTGATGAACGTTGATTTATAATGAGATTTGCGACAGCATAACATAAACAAGAGTGATTAGCTTTGGCATACACTTAAGTGGGACTAACAATCTTTGTCCTGATTGAAAGGATATATTACTATATATGTGGACTTTGAAGAACTTGATTCTCCAATGGTTTATAATGTGATCAGATTATATGAGAAATTGGCATTCATAAATTGATTGACCAATTTCTTTAGGCGAAGGTCCCTAAAAGCTGGTTTGCCTCTTTCAGGAATCACAAATATGGTTGCAGTATTTATTTATAACCTAATATTGAAGTTCATTATGGTGTCAGCGGAAACAAGGATAGTGCACTTCTAATGTTTTGATCATAGCTGTTGGTTGATAGATGTGGAGTTTCTTTGCTAAATACTTCTTACTGAACCATTCCAAAAACAAACAAGATAGAGTGTCTTTTGTTGCGGAGATGAAATAGGAGGCTGGATACAGTTCAGGACAGTTCCCTCAGTTCATCCCCCAATAGGAAAGGCCGATCCTCACGTGCTATGATTCCTTTTTCCCGTAATTTGAAATGGAAAGCTGTAGAAAATGCTGTAGAGGCATCGTCTTTCAATATGACAGTCACCTGTCTCGTTTTTTCAGGTGTGCCCGTCAGAATGGAGAATCTTAGTCAATTACCTCGACCGAAACTTCCTCTTGCTGAACCTGCTCAGGCTCCAGCTCCGGCTCTGCCTTCATCTCAGGCTCCCAAGCATGCTCAGGCATTTGACCCTTCTTTGCGTAAGTCTTGCTGATGAACATTGATTTATAATGAGATTTGCGACAGCATAACATAAACAAGAGTGATTAGCTTTGGCATACACTTAAGTGGGACTAACAATCTTTGTCCTGATTGAAAGGATATATTACTATACATGTGGACTTTGAAGAACTTGATTCTCCAAATAGTTTATAATGTGATCAGATTATATGAGAAATTGGCATCCATAAATTGATTGACCAATTTCTTTAGGCGAAGGTGCCTAAAAGCTGGTTTGCCTCTTTTCAGGAATCACAAATATGGTTGTGGTATTTATTTATAACCTAATATTGAAGTTCATTATGGTGTCAGCGGAAACAAGGATAATGCACTTCTAATGTTTTGATCATAGCTGTTGGTTGATAGATGTGGAGTTTCTTTGCTAAATACTTCTTACTTAACCATTCCAAAAACAAACAAGATAGAGTGTCTTTTGTTTGGAGATAAAATAGGAGGCTGGATACAGTTCAGGACAGTTCCCTCAGTTCATCCCCCAATAGGAAAGGCCGATCCTCACGTGCTATGATTCCTTTTTCCCGTAATTTGAAATGGAAAGCGGTGGAAAATGCTGTAGAGGTATCGTCTTTCAATATGACAGTCACCTGTCTCGTTTTTTCAGGTGTGCCCGTCAGAATGGAGAATCTTAGTCAATTTCTTCAACCGGAACTTCCTCTTGCTGAACCTGCTCAGGCTTTGGCTCCGGCTCCGGCTCCGGCTCCGCCTTCATCTCAGGCTCCCATGCAAGCTCAGGCATTTGACCCTTCTTTTTGTAAGTCTTGCTGGTGAACATTGATTTATAATGAGATTTGCGACAGCATAACGTAATTAAGAACAATTAGCTTCGGCATACACTTAAGAGGGACTAACGTTCGTTGTCCTGATTGAAAGGATATATTACTATATATGTGGACTTTGAACAACTAGATTATCAAATGGTTTATAATGTGATCAGATTATATGAGAAATTGGCATTCATAAATTGATTGACCAATTTCTTTAGGCGAAGGTGCCTAAAAGCTGGTTTGCCTCTTTTCAGGAATCACAAATATGGTTGCGGTATTTATTTATAACCTAATATTGAAGTTCATTATGGTGTCAGCGGAAACAAGGATACTGCACTTCTAATGTTTTGATCATAGCTGTTGGTTGATAGATGTGGAGTTTCTTTGCTAAATACTTCTTACTTAACCATTCCAAAAACAAACAAGATAGAGTGTCTTTTATTTGGAGATAAAATAGGAGGCTGGATACAGTTCAGGACAGTTCCCTCAGTTCATCCCCCAATAGGAAAGGCCGATCCTCACATGCTATGGTTCCTTTTTCCCCTAATTTGAAATGGAAAGCTGTGGAAAATGCTGTAGAGGCATCGTCTTTCAATATGACAGTCACCTGTCTCGTTTTTTCAGGTGTGCCCATCAGAATGGAGAATCTTAGTCAATTTCCTCAACCGGAACTTCCTCTTGCTGAACCTGCTCAGGCTCCGGCTCCGACTCCGGCTCTGGCTCCTCCTTCATCTCAGGCTCCCAAGCAAGCTCCGGCATTTGACCCTTCTTTTTGTAAGTCTTGCTGATGAACATTGATTTATAATGAGATTTGCGACAGCATAATGTAATTAAGAACAATTAGCTTCGGCATACACTTAAGAGGGACTAACATTCGTTGTCCTGATTGAAAGGATATATTACTATATATGTGGACTTTGAACAACTAGATTATCCAATGGTTTATAATTTGATCAGATTATATGAGAAATTGGCATTCATAAATTGATTGACCAATTTCTTTAGGCGAAGGTGCCTAAAAGCTGGTTTGCCTCTTTTCAGGAATCACAAATATGGTTGCGGTATTTATTTATAACCTAATATTGAAGTTCATTATGGTGTCAGCAGAAACAAGGATAGTGCACTTCTAATGTTTTGATCATAGCTGTTGGTTGATAGATGTGGAGTTTCTTTGCTAAATACTTCTTACTTAACCATCCCTAAATCAAACAAGATAGTGTGTCTTTTGTTGTGGAGATGATATAGGAGGCAGGATACAGTTCACGACAGTTCCTCAGTTCATCCCTCAATAGAAAAGGCCGTTCCTCACATGCTAGATTCTTTTTTCCCATGATATGAAATGGAAAGCTGTAGAAAATGTGGTAGAGGCATCGTTTTTCAATATGACAGTCACCTGTCTCGTTTTTTCAGCTGTTCCTGTCAGAACGGACAATCATAGTCAATTTCGTCAACCGGAACTACCTCTTGCTATCCCAGCTCAGGCTCTGGCTCCATCTTCATCTCAGGCTCCCGTGCAAGCTCAGGTGTTCGACCCTTCTTTGCGTAAGTCTTGCTGACAAATATTGTTTTATAATGAGATTTGCTATCATAACTTAATGAAGAATGATTAGCTTCTGCGCATGCTTAAGCAGGACCAATTATTGTCATCCTGATTGAAAGGATATATTAATATTTATGTTGACTTTAAACAACTAGATTCTCCAATGGGTTATCATCTGAATGGATTATATGAGAAATTGGCATTCATAAATTGATTGACCAAATTTTTTTTTTTTGGGCTAAAATGCTTAAGTCAGTTTTTCTCTATACTGGATTATCAAATCGTTTATGATGTAAATGGAGAATCTGGTGATAAAGCTAAAAGTTGTACATTATGTTTCTTTCTTCTAATTTTTTTTGCATCGAGATTACACTCTTTATGGCATACCTGATATTTAGCCGTGTAGGTTTGGCTATGATTGCAGCAGAAATAAAGGATTGTGAATATTTTATTTTTATTTTTCAAAATGATTTCCTAATCGTTTGGTCAAAAGATGTGGAATCTCTTTGCTAAGTATTTCTTACTTTATCATTCCAAAAGCAAACAAGACAAGTGTTTTTTTTTTTTTTATTTATTGTGGAGGCTTACTATCGATTCTATCAATGAAGAACTGGGAGGCTGGACACTCTGCAGTACCCAATTCATCCCCCCATGCTAATGGCTGTTCAACTCATGTTATGATTTTTTACTCATGATCTCATATCAAATGTTGTAAAAAGTGCTGGAGAGGTTTTGTCTTTCAATATGACAGTCATTGTCTGTTTCATTTTTTTCAGTTGTACCAGCCAGAATAAACGATCTCGGTGAATTTTCTCAACCAGAACCTCCTTTAGCTATCCCTGCTCAGGCTGTAGCTCCACCTTCAACTCGAGCTTCAGAGCAAGCTCAGGTTTCCTGCCCTCCATGTAAGTCTTGCTGTTTTGGTCTCTCATCTGATGTTACTTGTTCTTGGTGAAAAATTCAAATGTTAATAATCTTGTATAGCTTAAACATTTACCTAACTTTGGGGTTTGTCTCACTTTGCTCTCCATTGTTTCATTTTCTATAATTTACCCTATGTATCCTAATTTCTATAGACCATTTTAAAATGGCCCAAGTTTTTTCCACATTATAATGCATGGCCCACTGTGCTCACGTAGGGTCAAAACTGTCTTTTTTGACACTTGATCTATTCGAATAGTCGATGTTTGGCTTATGACTTTGTATACTTTGTTTTCAAGAACTTTCTTACTAACTATTGGCTATGAATCTTCTTGACTAGAAGGATGATTAAAGGAAAAATTCGAGTAATTTTGAGGATAAATGTGACTATATGGGAATAAATAGATATATGACGTGTTGTGACAAACTTTAGCAACTTTGCTGTTGATGGTGGATATTTGAGAAAAAAATGAAACGATTTTGTTAAATCTAAAAGGTGAATCATGAAAAATGATATAACAATGAGTAAAAGGAGACCGATCCATAGCTTCATATGTATGATTCGATAGTCAGGGAAAGGGTGCTTTGCTTTTTGTAATGTGTTTCGGATTCTTTCATCTACTCTGGAACGATAAATCTGACTTACTCCCAGAAAAAACCAAAAAATAAAAAATCTGCTTCTATTGACATTTAGAGGTGGTAACATGCTTTTCCAGGAATTTGCTGCCCTGCTTGATGTTTCATATCCTAGTATCCTCATATATGTCAGAAATGACTTCTAATTTGGCATTTACTTTAGTATGTCCTTCCTGTGAAGTGAAAAGGTTTGTGATTTTTGGTTATTGTTTGAGTATAGAACAACAAATGTATTCTCTTTTTTTCGTGTTTCTAAATGGTCAAAAGAAACCTTCTAATTCCAGAAAATGGGCGATGCTACTATAAAGTGGGCAAAAGACTAGTGACGCGTGCATCATTGATAACCAAAATGGAGACCTTATATATCATATATGTAATTTATTCAGGTGTTCCAGAGCAAGTGATGTACAAAAATCGGTTACAGGAGTATACGCAGAAAATAATGGTGCATTTTCCTATTTATAAGACAATAAATGAGGGATCTCAACATGCACCGAGATATAGGTCAACGGTATTCGTAGATGGGAAAAGCTTCACATCTCCCGACACATTTCCCCAAAAAAAGGAAGCTGAGCAAAATGTTGCTCAAATTGCATTGGACCTTTTGTCACAAAAGATGAAGGATGAAGGCTGTCCTCTTATCCATGAGGTTTGATAATTCTTTAACCATTGCGATCGATTCACTTGAATTGTTCTAGCATATGTTATATAGCTGAAAATGCTGGAAATCATTATCTTTGAATTGATGCCATGTTCTTATCATGCAAGTGGATGTCTTGAAGAAACCTTGAACTGAACTTACTAATTTATTTGAGACCTTCCAACTATGAGCGTACATCAGGTGGATATCTCTGCAATTTCTCCTAATTAATATTGTCTTATATAAGCTGATTGCGAGAACGTGCCTTTCTAAGGTTGTTGATAAAATACATCCAGTTGTATGTGCACGTCCAATGGAGGTCAACATTTAATTCTAATTATCTAAATGTGCTTGTCATGTGGTTAACTGGACCTTTTTGATTTCTCGACATGCTCCTGGTGTCATCTGGTCTTTAGATGAATTTTCCTGGTATTTTGTCTATCGTATGACTGATAGTTATTCTCGACTATATGGAACCACTAAATCGAATGATTAATATGAAGATGGGGGGTATAACTTAGGTAATAAGACAATAGGGAGTAGTCTTTAATATTTTGCATTTCGTTTCATCCAATAGCAACTGGAAAACAAGATGTTTGCTTCACACTCTCATTGCTATATTTTGATTCTTGATTTGTCCTTCTGTTTTTTAACTAATCTGCTGGTTATTTCATTACTGCATAGGATGCAATTTTTTGCAAGTCTATTCTTAATGAATATGCAGCCAAGATGAACTTGGAAATGCCCAATTACACAACCATTCAGCCACAAGGGGCAGTTCCTGTTTTTGTATCTTCTTTGGTATTCAATGGTGTAACTTATACCGGCGATGTTGGTAAAAGCAAAAAGGAGGCTGAACAATTGGCAGCGCGTGCTGCCATTCAATCCCTATATGGTATGCCATTTTTTATACTTTATCTTGAAGTTATGCACGTTTCTATTCAGTCAACTAAGAAAGGATGTAATGCAGATGATAGCCAGTCGAAAATTGTTCTTTTGAAGACGATCAAGTCTAAGTGGAAACTTTATGCTACACACCGTGAGACTAAGTATTCAGGTCCTCTTGGAGAGAATGTAACAGAGAATGTGGGAGGCAATTCTGAAATCTCAAATACCAATCATAGAGAAGCTTCTAGGCCAGCTAATTATGTTCTTGGTCGTGCTATTCCCCAGGCATGCTCAGAAGTACCTACACCACATCATTTGTTCCAAATACCAAGAGCAGTGGCTGAAGCATCCTCTACAGTAGAGAATTCGTTGATCTCCTTTGTTCCTTCGAGAACCGAACAGCAGCCTATTGCTGCTGCGAATTCTAGTAAAAAGCGACGCAAGAACAAGAAAAAGGCCAATAAAAAACCGCGTGTTGATCCTCAGCAGGTTCTACTCTTTACTTATAAATTCTTTTTTTAAACCATTTTAACTGAGTTCTTGTCATCGTATAGGGTGGCTACTTGTCTTTGAACTTTGTTTCTTAGATGTGTGCGATGTAAGTGTTAATTAGTATGCAAACTGATGATTTTCAGAAGGAAATAGTTAAAGACACCTTTACTCCTGTTGCCATTTCCTCCTTAATCGATCTCTGAAAAATCTCGGAGCATCTTTAACTGCTCTCCGATAGAACCTTTCTCAATAAAAATAGTCAACCACCTTGTTGGACTGTTGTGCAGTGATTGTGAACGATGGATTTGTTGCTGGACAAATTGTTAATGTTTGCTTTTGCAGGTTTTGAGTTGACGTCTCCATATATGTCAGTCAAAATGCATGTGATGCATGCTTGTCTCCTACGTTCTTCTTGTTTTAGAAGTTGGATCATTCACTCTGTTACCTAATATTCCTAATCTTTGCAGGTTACCCAATGCTGTGATGCCTTTTGACCAAGCCCCGCCTTGTTCTGTTTCACAGGAGACGGAACATATGTGTAAGCTTTCTAGTTAGACATTAGCTTTCGAGGCTTGGCACCGTGGCTCTCTTTTGAGCGGTATACAAACTTCTCTGTGTTATAGCCTTGACAATTAGGATTTGTATTGTCGGATTGGATGTGGGGTCCATGTATATTATGGTGAGTAGTAAACGCCGATCCTCCTATACCTGTTTAGTTAAAAGGAATTTGTGCTTCTTGAATTTGTTGGTTCCATGGCTGTTTATCTAATTTCTTTGTGTTCTTGTGGGATTATGATATTGCGAAGGTGTATCCCAAAACTGGCACACTTTATTGTGGCTAGATTTTGAATTAGGAACGAGAAATGACCCGTTCAATATCACCAAGGCTGAATGGCTTTGTGCGGATCAAAGTTAAACACAAAATTTGCATACCCAGCTGTTACAGGGAGCTCATATCCAACTTTCTAACGCCATCCCGGACGTCGAAAGCTGTTGTCCAACAAAGGTGATCAGGAAATTCATAAGAGCTACTGTCTTTTCATCCATTCCAATGCCGATCGAAACCGTCTTTCTTAACTATCATGTACGGAGGCTCTTCAACTAATTAAGAAACAAACATATTATAGGTTATATACCACGAAAACCCTAAACTGGTATATTTACTATAAATTTATCCCAATTTAATTGTTTGACCATAAAAAAATCCAAACTGGTATGCTTGTGCCAAATTGATATATTTGTGATAAATTTATCTTCCATTAAATTAGATTTATAAAAAAAAAAAAATCATAAACTAGTACACCAGTGACAAAAGGAAGGTAAAACTCCAAACTGGTAAATCCGTCAACTGTCACGTGTCATTTAACATAGCAATTTGACAGTAAAATTTAACGAAAACTAATCGAGAGTAAATTTGTCACAGGTGTACCAGTTTTGAATTTTTATTGGTCAAAAAATTAGTTTGAGGTAAATTTATCATATGTATACTAGTTTAAAGTTGTTCGTGATATTAACCCTATATTATATTAAAGGACGTTCACATGGAAACTTTTAAAAATTTTAATGTCCTAGTGAGGAGGTTCTCGGAATATCTTGTTTGACACCCTAGACGAGAATTTCTTTGCGTCGGGTTTCATTTGTATTGCGGGGTTACGTTATAGGCATCGTCGTCGTCTCCTCAAGATCAGAGGACTAGGGTCATCGAGCAATTGGGCCGAATTACATAAATGTGCGAACACGGGTGCAAATCCTAGTTTCTCCGTGGAATCGATAATAATTTGGTGTCCCGCGTAGGAAGTGATGTCCGGGTCTCTTAATACACCTCAGTGACGCTCGATTCTTGATCGCTGGCGCTTCTTCACAGTTCACATCAACATACAAGCAGCGGCAGGAGTCATCCGACACGCCTCAGGATTGGTTTCATCCAACAAAATGCCACCACAGGACATCGAGTCTATGGTCCATGAATTTTTTTCTGACTCCCAACTTTTGATGAGCTCGTTATCATCGGATGACATTAGGAGATCTCAGAAGTCAGAAGGAAGTGATTATGCATGAGATAAGAATCTCCCACCTATTTCGTCTGCTTACACTTTGCTTTCTTATAACGTAAGCTAACCACCACCTGAGTCTTGGCGATAATGAATGCGGTTGGTATGTTGATGTCATGGCCAGGTTCACCCCAAAAAGTTGACCTGGATTCTCTCATCTGTTACGTAAGTTGTTTGGCAATTGATTCTACTCCAGAGTTTGGTCTTTTGGCTGGGTAGAGTATTTTATTTGTGAAGAGAAGACAACCAGACGAAGTTCAGAGAACCGGGAAAGCAGGCAATAGCAGATTGAACTAATAAGATGAAGAAGAAGAAGAAACCAATTCTGCTGACATTTCAAGAAGGCCATGGCATTAATTTGATTTGAACCTCTTCTTCTGCTTTTGCTCGAAAGTCCCCTGTTTTTGCTTTCCCTTGCATTGCAATCTTTTCAAATTTCTTTTTTTTTTCCTTAATTGAAAGGATTAAATGCCTCTTCTTCACATAATGCAGCTAAAAAAGGCTACCGAGTTCTCTTTCCTGATTGTTTGCAGCAAGAATTAATCCCAAAGAACTAAACAAGGTCCGTAATTCGCAACAGAACACAACATTTGGTAACTTTGAAATTATATAAAAATTTAAAAATTTGAGGGCCAGAATCATATTACTTTCTGGGCATCCGGTCAGATTGCTACACAGGATGAACAGCAACAACTTTGAGGGAAAAAGCACAACCTTGCCATTAGAACTAGGTAGAGACCTTAATGTAACTGCAAAAACTACTCACCCAGAGAGAGCTAAACTCACGATCATCAGCAGAAGAGAGAGAATCATGACCCAGGATCGCCTGAGGCGAGTTTCCGACGAAGAGTTTGGCACCAGGGGTTGCTTGTAGTACCATGGAAAATAAGGCAAGATGGGATCAGGAGGGGGAGGTGCATTGCCCAAGTACCATGGCGGCGGAAAATAGTACGGAAAGTACCCGCCAGGCGGCGGATAGACCATGGAAGGCGGTGGATAGACCCCAAAAGGCGGCAATGGCGGAGACGGCGGCAGTGGCGGCGGGTAGATTGCGGGTGTCGTTGGTGGCGGGAGACAAGGATAGGGACAGTCGCTGGGCGGCGGCTGCGAAATCGTCACTACAGCTTGTCCATGCACCATGGCTTGTGGGAATGCAGCGAATAGAACCACAACCAAGACATTGGCACATACACCATGACCATTCTTGACGGTGCTTGCCATCTCTGTGCAACTACAGACTTCACTGAGAGGGAGAGAAACCAAAGGGCCAAACACAAACACCTCAAGTAGATGGAAAATGTGGGAGTTTCGGAGGAGGTGCATTAAAAGTGATTAAATAAAAGGCTCAACTCTCTCTCTCTCTCTCTCTCCTAACAACCTTTGTCTTCTACATAAACAAATAAAACAAATGAAGGGTCACACTGTATTATATTCCTCTATGTGGGTTTCGAAGGCATGAGAATGTCCACTACATCCAATAATCGAGACGTAATTGGAGCTTTTCACAAAAGCCTTTTTTGACAAAGGAACCCTCTAAGGTCTCTAGGTGCAACCCCATTTGCCTAAAAGGTCATCTATATACAGGTTGCAAACATCGGCCAACTTTCACTTTCGCAGCCACTGCCCTAAATATGGACAAACCTTACACTATGCTAATAACTAAGGAAGGTAGACCTGCCCTAACAAAGCTGTCAATTATTTCACAGAAGTTGGAGTGAACTCCCATTTTTTTTTCATTCTTCCGGTCCTTTGAAGGGATTAACATAAAAGCTACTAGGTTGGGATAAGAGTCAATAAGTCATTGAATTAGGACAACACTTCAACTACTACCCTTTGGGATCAAATGGGTCATTTTCCTTATTTTTTCCCTCAAATTTTGACCAAATGCTAGAGTATCTGAGGTTAAAGAATTGTATGAATGTAATATGGTGATAGAAACAACTTTGAAAAATCTAGTAGTGGGACAAGAGATCATTAGATATGAGTCCAAACATTGTCTCGAGGTTTGTCCTTGAAAAAATTATTACTCCTTGATGGCGACCAGTACTTAAGTAATGTTTCTCATAAATCGTTGTGAGAAATTATAGCAAATATTCGCACCTTATACAATACGACTTAACTTGAATTCGACACGAATTTACATATTTTCACTCATTTTTAATGTATAAATATTTATAATTACGTTGAAATATTGTTGTATTGACATGTTATGACACGAACAGTCAATACAAATATGACACGCTGTCGCGACCTCCCGGCGGCGCGGCCCTCGGGGGGAGGTGTCAACACACACAAACTCGAATTTCCAAGAAAGAGAATTATTTAAATGGTTCTTGATTTTTTTTTTTAAATGCTAGCGATCCGCATGCCAAATTGCATAAGTTGACAAACGGGCAAAAAGCTTGACAACCCTCGAACTATTCTCCTTCTTAGGTACACCTTATGGATATTTTTTAATGTAACATTGAGCAAATTTAGTGTTGTGATTACGAGAATTGGCAAACCAAAAAATTGTTGTAATTGATGCGGCATATCGCCACGTGAGCGATTTCCGGCGATAATTTGTTGGAAGGACCACAGTGAAATTTCATGCGAAGATTTAGAACTACATTAGTAAAATTGAAAAGTTTAGAATTGAATTGAAATCCACACAATAGATTTACGACTGATCGGACAATTTCCCTCAAATTTAAAGGGGTAAACGTTCTTAGGTTCCATCTCCAATGCAGTTTATAAGCAGGCTTCGTAGTTGACTTCCATGTGATGAGTTAATTGATCGATCATCTAGGAATATGCCACGATGCTTTTTCATATTATTTACGTACATAATGATAATGTTTCACTTACTCCAAGTCGGTGCCTTCACTAGCAAAAGTTGGGAAGGTTTGGTGTAAGAATCTGGATGACCTAAACGTGCAATTTCCTTGGACCTCAGCGTACTAGCTCTGGCGATAAGATATGCTAAAAAAAGAGATGATCATGACCTAATTTAAGCCGGAGCCTCAAGTCAGCGACAGCTAGAATTGCAAAAATAATACATGTTTGTTAAGGGAAAAGTACAAAAAAAGTCTTAAACCTTTTGCATTAGTGCCAATTTAGTCCTAAACCTTTTTTTGGTGCCAATTCAGTCCTAAACATTTTGCATTGATGCCAATTTAGTCCTAAACCTTTTTTTGGTGCCAATTCAGTCCTAAACCTTTTATTTTTGTGCCAATTTAGTCCTTCCGGCTAATTTTGACCGGAATTTGCCGACGTGGACGCCTGCCGGCCGGAGGCCGGTCACCGGCGCCGACGTGGACAACTTTAATAATATTTTAATATTTTTTTGAACTTTTATTTTTTTTCCTTTTTTTTTCTTTTTTTTCCACTTTTTTTTTTTTGGTCTTCCCTCCTTCCTTTGGCCGGTCGCCGGTCCGGCGACCGGCCACTGGCGAGGGCGGCCTCGCCCGGCGAGGGCGAGCCTCGCCCGATCAAGGCAAGGCTCGAGCCCTCGCCGGAGGCCGCGGCGAGGGCGAGACTCCGACTTTAGGAACGAAATTAATCAATACTATGAACGAAATTCTTAACCAGGTGCACTCCTAGGATCCTCGGTATTCGCTTAAGAGGTAACCTCACCAAGAAAAGGGAGTCGAGACTCCGACTTTAGGATGACTATACACCTTGTTTAACATCCCGTCAGCCGGACACCCGAAATCCCCTAAATTCCTTCCAAATTTTTTTCTTCTTTGGAGAGAGGGAATACTGGATAGGTTTTATAGAAGTAAGCTTCGTACTATCCGTTAAGCCTTTTGAGGACATGCGTCCTAACATCAAGTAGGATAAACTAGCGTCAAATTGGGGTAACACATGAACGAAATTCATCGATGCCATGGACGGATCAGGGGGCCTTGGGTTGGGCCCCTTCGGTGAACATCATCCGAACACTTCAGATAATGGTCTAAAGAATGGGCCCGATCATGGCGTTTGCTCAGCAAACAGCATTTCGAGACAAACCAGTGACATCTCCAAGACCCGAAGCCAAGATTTTGTACGAAATCTAGGTATGGTTTTATTTCGCCGAAAATTTCATGAAAGAAAATATTTTTTATATGAATTACTTTAAGGAAAATATTTAGATTTCATTTGTTCGGTGGTTTAAGAAAAGTGATTTCCATCTTACCCGAAAAAGAAGTCGTTTTCCTCCGATTTAAACTTGTTTTCAATTCATGAAAAACGTTTTCATGGAAGTTGATTGGTTTTCTGTTATTCAAATACTAAAAAATCGAAAAGCGATTTCCCAAAAACAATTTTCCTTCCAAACAAACCGACCCCAAATAAAACATATGAGGCAATACACAATAAAACTTTAGTGGGTAGAATAAACTGAAGATTTAAAGTAGGTAATCTATAATGTAAATGCATAATGGGCCCGCTTGGTTCGGCTTTTTAAATGTAACTTGGGGGAATGCAAATACCTTTAGGTGAAAGCCACTTTGGGAAATGTAAGTGGTGTTTGGTAAAAAAAAATTTGTGAAGCTACTTTGGCCTAAGTAGTGTTTGGTAAAAAAAATTTTGCAAAGGGCTTTGGCAATTTTTATTCTTAATATTCCGGTTTTGCCCCTATTACTGTTCATCTTCTTTACTGTGAGGGTGGCCGGCGAAGGGCTGGCGAGGGCGGATCTGGCCGGCGAAGGGCCGGCGAGGGGCCGGCGAGGTCGCCTAGGGTCGGGCGACCGCCCAGGCACCGTCGCCTGGGTTGGTGGTCGGCCGGAGTCGCGCAACCCAGCGGCGATCGCCCGGGTCGCGCGACCTCGGCGCGGCCGGGCCGGGTTGCACGACCCAGCGACCGCCGCCCCGGGTCGCGCGACCTCAGGCGACCGCCGACCCAGGCGACAGCGCCTGGGCGATAGCCCGACCCCAGGCGGCCGTTGCCTGGGTCAGGCGACCTCGCCGGCCCGTCGCCGGCCAGTTCCGCCCTCGCCGGCCACCCTCGCCGGCCACCTTCACGGTGAAGAAGATGAACAGTAACAGGGCAAAACCGGAAAACTGAAATTTGAGTGAGGGCAATTTGGGAAGGAAAAATAGGCTTCAGCATTCCAACGACATTCCAAATGCTAGCTTTTGGCTTTCCGAGTCCGGAAAGCCGAACCAAACGGTTTAGCATTTTGGGAAGGGGCTTTAGAGGCCGAAAGCCCCTTCCCAAAGCTGAACCAAACGGGGCCAATCTCCTCTACCATCAGCTGCGGTACTGGGGACGTGTGTTTGGACATCCATCCGACACGTGGCGCCACGTGTCTACCGCAGTCTCTAACGCCGGCACGTGGCGTCGGTCCCACCCACCTCCCCAAGTCAAAAGATGAGATATAGGTTGAAACGAGGACGGAGAAGGATTCAATTCAGGAGGTCGGCGCAGGGCAGCAAACGAGCAGAGACGCAGCGAGCCAGTCGATCACGATGCTGAACTTGGTCAGTGTCCTGGACTTCGTAGCGCAAGCCGTGGTCATCGTCTTCTGCTCCCCGTGGACCCTCAACCTCGCCATCACCCCGACATTCCTTCGGGTTCTCCACTAATCTTGCCGCTATCGGCGCGAGGTTCGGTCGGTCCAACACGTCGTTAGCACTTCGCACTTACTTTGACTGGGCCAAAACCGTGCTCTGAATTGTAAGCCTCAGTGGTATGGCCGCTGATGTCGCTGTTGATATTGCCCGTTTTGGTGCACGCATTGCTCATTGACGTTTTGGTCTTACGTTAAATCGGTGTTACCCATGTATTGTATACATGCTCGTTTACATTCGATCTACGATTATACCTAGTTTTCTCTTGTCTGTTCTCCGACTATCCCGTCGATGTGATCGTCTTTCATATTCCTTACATGAATTGAACGTGCAACTCAGAGAATAGTGTTACAAGCAATGTTTTGGTACGTGCACTGCTAATTGATGTTCTGGTCCCACGTTAAATTGACACTATCCGAATTTTGTGTGCATGCTCGGTAACATTCGGTCTATGATTATACCTATTTTTCTCTTATCTGTTCTTCGATTATCCCGTCGATGATGCGATCGTCTTTCATATTACTTCTATAAATTGAACGTGCGACTTAGAGAATAGTGTTACAACCATTTTTTGTTTATTCTTTTTTCCTTGGGTATAATAGAACTGGAAAAAAAAAGGGCTTCATGTGAACTAAGTCGTAAATATCGGCGTACGGAGCCTAATTACAAGATTGTTGCCGCCATATCCGCCAGGATCTGCGATGCGACTCCTTGCATCACGGAGTCCACCTTTTTGACTAACAACATCAAAGCTACCTAAAGAAGAATATTCAAAGCCTACTAGTGAAAGGGGAGAATAGGACTTAGACACGGGGTTTAGAATTTGCGGAACGGGCCCTTAAGGAGCTTTGCTCAACCGCCGCCGTGTACATGTGCTCTCGGAACACGACGTCTCCATCCACGAGATCCTCGCACTAGATTGCGCCTCAAATCGATCTTACGATGACTCGGATTGAATTTCCGGGCGGATCTCTCCTCCTTCCGTCGCATTAAACCTCACCCTCTTCTGCAAAAGTTTCACAAGAAATGTTAAGACCACTTGCAAGCATGAAGATTCTTGATGGAATGAGTGTCCATACACGCTTGTCCGTAGTTGGTGTGAACATGCATGAAAAGAACCGTGGGAAAGGAAGTTGTGTCTGTCCTTATCGCTTTGTCTTACTTTACTCAAATAGAGCATTTGATTGCATCGAATTCAAACTGATTGCACTTTTTGCATTCGTTTAGGACTTTGATTACAAATTGGCAAAACTTAGGTGCCAATTCTCTAAAAAAATTAGCTAAGTTGTTGATTTGAATCATCCATATGATTTGAGGTAAGATTCACCATTCTAGTACTGTTTACACTTAACGATGATTCTACTAAATACAAGAAAGCTACATGCATCAAAACTGAAGATGTCACAAATTGGAACTAATTTGAGAGGGGATTTACCTCGGGCAACTTGATGCTGCTGCTCTTTTCTCTAGTGCCACCACGACCAGGCGTCCAATTCGGACCTCCTTGTTGCGACGCATTCTCATCACCGTAACACAGGCTCATGATCCTCTCCGCCACCTCCTTCTCATCCCTGCTCTCCGCCACCAACTTAGCCATCTCCGCCCTCGTCAGCCTCATCTTCACCGTCAGCGGCCCCTCGCCCCGCCGCGGCCGCCCGTCCCCGCCCTCTGACCCCAGGCTCGGCGGCGGCGGCCTGGCAAGCGAGAGGTCGGACGCCGCCCTCCGCGACAGCATCAGGCACTCGAGCCGGTCCTTGGCGCTCATCCGGATGCCCGTGGACCGGACCCGCCTCGGGAACTTGTTGTCCTCCTCTGGGAACTTGGGCAGCTCGACGAGGAAGTACACCTTCTTGGGCTTGAGCTCTTGCTGGGGCTCGAGCGGCTTCGCCCGGATGCCGAAATGCTTGACGGCCTCGGAGTCCATCAGGACGTGCCCCGGGTAGTCCTTCACGACGTCCCCGACTCTAACCGGGGTCTTCAATTTGAAGGTGTCGCCGTTTATCTTCATCACTTTGGCTCGCCTCTTCCCTCCCATACTGTTTCCCATCTCTCCTGTCCCTCACGCTCTCTGTCTCCGAGACAATTCCAAGTGTAATCTAACCCGAGATCACGTGATGAGATATTGGGGTTAATACAGAGTGTGAATCCGAAAGATTATCACGGGGATTCCAATGGATCATCATCAGTAACAATTTGCGACTTTAAAGCTGGATTCGTTCACATGGTAAGTACTGTTATGAAGAAAAGTCTAAACGAGGATAGGGACCATGGCAATCCGGACCAATCTCCTTTTTTTTAATGCATTTCCCACTAGGAGGAAAAGGGGCTGTGGGGTGATTATGTGTCCTTTCCTTTTCACACACTATTTTTAGCGTGTACAGCTCGTGTCAGGAAATTAGGAAAACAAGCTTGTGACGCAATGATGACGAAATTGAAAGGTAATTAAGAATTACATGTTGTGTGGCGTTCTCACTCCTTATTGGTGGTCCCGTAGTATCATGTCATGAGCTGACGTGGTATGTATTTTTATTAAAAATTAATAATAAATTGCCACATGTTGATGACGTGGGCAAGCATTAAAAAATTAAAGATCTCATTCTCTTTTTTTCTCTCTCTCTTCTACTCCGTTCCCTGCATTCCGCCGGTGGCCATGGATCTCAGATGTCTACACTTTCGCGAGCGTCGACAACTCCGCAGGTGGCCATTGCCGAGCCACTCCCTCTGTCATCATGCCGGCTCGCAGTGGTGCCACCCACAAGCACACGTCGCATGCAGCGGCTCGTCCGTTGCTAGATCTAGAGCGACGAGCACATGAAGCAAGAACACGGGCAAGACATGGACTAGAGGATTCCCCTTTGGAGCCCATGCATCTCATGGGAGGGGATTCTCGCTCGACACAGCAAAAAGAACAAATCTCCCTCGTTTTTTATTCTCCAAGCATACATCATGCCTGGGAGGCAAGCAGAGGAAATTTGGGTTCATCTTTTTTCTTTTAGGAAAAGTATCATAAAAGTCCTAAACTTTTTGCATTGATGTCAATTTAGTCATAAACATTTTTGTATGTCAATTCAATCCAAAACATTTTGTCTTTATACCAATTCAATCATTCTGGCTAATTTTGGCAGAATATTTCTAACGTGGATGCCAGCCGGCCTACGTAGTACGGCTGGCGATGACGTTGACAACTTTTAATAATATTTTAATATTTTTTGAATTTTTGAATTTTTTTTCTTTTCCTTTTTTCTTCCTCCAGCTAGTCGCTGGTCTAGCGAGTAGCTAGAGGCCAAGGCCGGCGAGCCCCGTCGGCCAATGGCGAGGCTTGCTCCGCCAGCCACTGGCGAAGTTTGACCTCACCAAAGACGTCGAAGGCAGGTCTCGCCGGATATGGCGAGGTTGTGCCTTGCCCAGTCCAGCTTGAGGCCACCCTCGTGGCCATCTAGCGAGGGCTTGAGTCTCGCGCTGGGTTGGGTGAGGCTCGCCCTCGCCAAATCTAGCGAGGGTCGAGCCTCACCGACCATGGGGAGGCCTGTCCTCGCCAGATCTAGCGAGGGTGAGCCTTGCCGGCCATGGGGGAGGCTTGATCTCGCCAAATCTGGCAAGATTGTGCCTCACCCAGCCCAGCTCGAGGCCGCCCTCACGGCCATCCAGCGAGGGCTCGAGCCTTGCGCTGGACTGGGCGAGGCTCGTCTTCGCCGTCACTGGCAAGGGCGATCCTTGCTAGTGGCCGGTGGGGATCGTCGGCCCTGGCCTCCAGCCTCTCGCCAGACCGGCGATTGGCTGGAGGAAGAAGAAAGGGAAATAAAAAAAAGAAAGAAAAGAAAAAAATAAAAAAAATATATTTAAAAAATCGAAAATTATTAAAATATTATTAAAAGTTATTTACATCATCGCCGACAGTGCTACGTAGGCCGGCCAGCGTCTATGTCAGCAATATCCGGCCAAAATTAGCCGGAAGAAATGAATTGACAAATACAAAATGTTAGAACTGAATTCGTACAAAAAAAAGGTTTAGAACTAAATTGGTATCAATGCAAAAGGTTTTGGACTTTTCTGATACTTTTCCCTTTTTTTTTTTGCTGTTCCAGCCAATTGTTGCAACAATGCGAGGTGGGGATAGCCGGACAGCGAGAAGGGTTCGAGCACAATGTTGTTTGGGGCTCCAATCGAGATCTGGAAATATGGGTACTTGCGGCCAAGGCTCCGTCGTCGGTGTCATCTAAACCCCTCTATCATCGCTCGCGTCCAAGGCTCCAGAGATTTGGAAAACTGGGCGCTCGCGGCCAATGCTTCGTCGTCGGCGTCATCTAAACCCCTCCATCGAGCCTTTGTCGTGAGCGACGTACATGAAGAGGTTGCTTTACTCCATAGATTTGGAAATGTGGATGAATCTGACGAGAATAACAAGAGAGAAAATGGAGGACAGCTCGCTGGTGGTCGTCGTTGGCTGTAAATGGAGGAGATGGGGGAGCTTGCTGCCGGTGGTCGTCGGTGCTTGTGAATGAAGGAGATGGGGAAGAGAGAAAAAGTCCAGCTAGATTTTTAATTTTTTATATTTGTCCGGGTCATTCACAAGTGTCAAGTTGTGATTGGGTTTCAGTAAAAAAATAGGTACCACGTCTGCCTATGACATAATACTAAATGAGCACTGAATACTTTCTCCCTCACTGATAATATAGATGGCTAAATAGCATATTTTATTACGTGTTAATATTGGTGTATTCTAAAAGTATGTTTACGTATGTGAGAGTTATAAATTTTACAAAACTGAATAAAAATCACTTCGCCTGAGCTGAATCATGAATAGTCTCCAAGTGGAGAAGAGCCCGTGTTCGGCGTACAACCATCAAAAAATGGTCAAATGTTCGAACGTCGCAGTCACTTTAGCGGCCGTCCAATCTCCGACCCGAATTCAACAGTGCAGTCGCTGTCTAAAAATTCAAACCCATTTCATTGACAACCACTGTCTTCTGTCTTCTTTTCCTTTCGAAAATAAATCAACCCACTTTAGATTTCTCTTCGAGTTGTTGATAGGTGGGGGCTTACAGCTCCTGCGTAATGAACGAATGTCAACTATTCTCGGATAACTTTTGATTAAGTCGATCGAAAGTATCACCACTTTCTTCTGCTGATCGGTTTATTAGCACACGAGCACAGCGGTCGAAACATATTCTACTGTTGAAGCTCTTGAACGAGGAACCGTTTGTCGGGTTAGAGATTAGATCCATGCATATCGCGTGTTTCAGGCATCCGCTGAAACCTAAAATGAGCTCAATTTGTGGCATCGCCTGACGATAATTTACCCCTTTTTCTGGTTGCAGACATCATTTGAATTATTTACATTTGAGGTGGTACAGCAATGGACTCTGAAGAAGATGGAGCTTCGTCGTGTCCTCCTTTGAAGAGCAGACGTGCATCGATTTCCTTAGATACAGGTGAAGTGTTGACTCTCTTGCGGGCGTCAATCCATCCGTCAATCAAGGATTCTGTCGGGACGCTGCAGTTCGCAAGCAAAATCTTTCCAAATTCTGCCACTAACTTGTGGTGCCCAAGAGGTCAACAAGCGGTTGGCAAGTGTGGATTTTGTGCTGCTTTGACTTTTGCCTTGCTCTTTTGGTCTTGGTGATGATTTTAGGGATGATGGGATGATCATTGCGTTCAACAAATCTGTTCCTTGTGCAAGGCGTTTGAGAAGGTCTGTCACTTTGATTTACTTAATCATGTGGTGGGGTTCATATTGGCATTCGGACAATTATGTTTGGCGTCTTCAAATTTGTGGCAACCCATAATGCACTCAAATCTTAAAAACTTTTACTTTATTCATTTGAAAGAGGAGTCAAAGTACACGATTTGAACAAGTTTTATGACATCTGGTGCGATTGTCCTATATATTTAAACAAGTTCACCACCTCATATTATCTCGAATTCATTTCTCTAGATATACGTTTAAGTTGTGTCACATTGTTTCATAAGTTAAATTATGACAATAGGCTTAAATAGTTTTAAAAAGAAGAAAAAACTTGTCAAAAAGTCCTAAATTTATTATATTTTTGCCAATTCAGTTCTAAACCTTTTCACTTTTTGCGAATTGAGTCCATGCAGCCAATTTTGATCGGAAATCGCTGACGTGGATGCCGAGTGGCCACGTGGAGCTGACGTGGACATTTTTAAATAATTTTCTGAATTTTTTAAGGAAAAAGACCACTAAAAACCCCAAACTATGCTACTTGAGACAAATTTATCCTGAAATTTTTTTTGTGACACTAAAAACTTCAAACTATGCCATTTGTGACACATTTACTCTATAATACTTTCTCCTAAGGCATTTTCGTCTTTTTCCTTTTTCTTTTTCTTTTTTTTTCCTTTCTTCTCTCTCTTCCCTCCGCTGGCCATGGTGGAGGGAAGCCGGCAAGGGCCGCCCTCGCCGGCGTTGGGGTTGGGCGAGGCTGCCCTCGCCGGATCTGGCGAGGGCGACCCTCGCCTGAGTTGGGCGAGGGCAGCCCTCACTCGCCCGACGCCGGCGAGGGTTGGCCTCGCCTGAGTCGGGCGAGGGCGGCCCTCGCCTGAGTCGGGCGAGGGCGGCCCTCGCTCGCCCAGGCGAGGGTCACCTGAGTTAGGCAAGGGCAGCCCTCGCCGGATTTGGCGAGGGCGATCCTCGCCGAGGCTGCCGTCGCCGGCTTCCCTCTGCCATGGCCGGCGGAGGGAAGAGAGAGAAGAAAAAAAAAAAGAAAAAGGAAAAAGACGAAAATGCCCTAGGAGAAAGTATTTATGGGGTAAATGTGTCACAAATAACATAATTTGGGGTTTTTCGTGACACAAAAAAAAATTCAGGGTAAATTTGTCACAGGTGGCATAGTTTGACGTTTTTGGTGGTCTTTTCCCTTTTTTTAATGGTTTTTTTCTTCTTCTTTTTTCCTTTTCTTTGTTTATTTTTTTTGGTTTTGGAGCTAGGGCCGGCAAGGGTGCTCGGCCGACCCTTGCCAGCCATAGGCAAGGGCCGGACAACCCTCGCCAGCCTTTAGTCCACCTAAAATTGATTTTTCTGAAAATTAAATAAAATATTAGAATGGTAATGGGAGCTAAAATCACCTTTCATTTCACCTCCATTTCTTTCTGCGAAACATGGCACTTAAACATGTTAACCTCATCGACTGAAAATTATCACTCCTTAGCTTCTTGTTCTCAAATATGTTATTTCCCTTTTACGAATGATCGCTTTTCATTTGCTTTATCTTGTAATTGCGATTGACACCACTCCTTTGAAAAGCTGATTTCCTTGTTATATCGAGGAAGCCCATTTAATTAGGTAAATTATAAGCCCAAAAAAAAAATATTTACTGACTTTATGAATCAGATAAGACGCGAGTCAAAACCTAAACAAGTATCCCAGAATATGAAATTACTTGCACCTAGGGATGCAAGCAAATCAAGCCAGTCCCGTTCTCCTAAACCACACGCATCTCATTTCTCGAAAGAAACCAGAAAAGAGAGAGAAGAAGAACATGGTTTTTTTTTTGCTACACCAAGTTGTACGCTCGAACCAGTCCTCCTCCACTGCACTTGTCTTGGCCACAATGCACAATGCATTTTTGGGAGGGCATTCTCCTTCACTTGCTTGTGGCATCATTAGTAATGATTCATTACGCACTGATTTGCGCAAACGCGCTTAGAACAACTAATATGGTCGACAGCGGCATGATTAATCTCGAAGAACGCCATTATTTCTGAGCACACCATCTCAGTTGAGTTGTAACCAATAACCAAAGATGGTAAAAGACTTACAAGATAAGTCTTTGGGCAATCTACTGTTTATCACTGCTTGAGATTCGATCTAAATGCTTGGCCTTCGATCTGCATTGAAAGAAAAGATTGAGATAAATAGTGAATGAGAGCAAGTTTGACTATATATTTGTTGGTACCCATCTAATCAAATATATTATACTAAAAGTAATATTTGCACATCAAATGCATTACATAGGGAGTCTTTTTTTTTTCCAAGTGAAAAATCAAGAGTTTTTGCAAAAAAAAGTAAAAGTTTTGAGAAAAATCTCTTGACAATAAGTAGTAAAAATGACCTATGAGAATGAGAAAATATCTTTAGAAAGAATTAAGAGAAATTTTTAAAAAAATATTACATAGATATAGATATTACGTCTATTTAGTAATATCTAAAGTAACAAAGAGTAAAAGTAACTCTACAAGAATGATAAAGTATTACATATAACTTCACGTAAAATTGACTCTATTATGCATGATATGTGATATGATATATTTACAGAAAAAATTACTCACAAATCTATAGAATAATAAGGTGGAGCAAAAGATTGACTTTGTGCTTATAATAGAATGCACCAAACAAACAAAGTAAAGGTCCATTATTCTTAATTCTTTCCCTAAGCTCCATTCTATTTTGCCTAGTCTCCTTGTATTTCCTAGTTATCTAATAAGTATTCCTCACAAAATAAGCTACTATCATATTTGTTATCACTTTCATCCACAGGTTTGTAATAAGAGTCGTCTTCTCAATTGTAATCTTCTACCTCCACGGTAGTCTCCAACTAGACTTGTCAAATGGGTGAATTGGGTCGAATTTGGACGGGTCGAAAATGGCTCCGATCCAAATTAACCCATATTGACCCCATTTCTATATAATATAATTTTAGCGACCCATACTCGATCCAAATCCAACGGAGGTCCAATTCTTAACATTTTTACCTCTTATATTTGGAAAATAAAATACTAAAAAAAGTAATTGAAAACAAATTAGACATGAAAAAAATTAGAAATATAAATTACTAAAAAATTTGACGAATCAACCTAACGGAACACATTATTGTTATTTCTCCTAGTGCTAGAAATTTGATCTAATTTAACAGAAGAGACCATATTTGAAAAGATATATATGACGTAATTTCTACTCTCATAAAAACTAAAAGATCTGAATATACTCAAGGATTTGAAAATACTCAGACCAATCATAACATTAAGAGGGAAAGTAAGGAAATGTACCAAATAACAACAAAGGATTAGGTTTACATATTCAGCCCAATTATTTTTTAAAGCACGTAAATGCTGATAATTTAGACTATCATGTTCACGTGAAATTTTGTCATCGAGATGAAATGTGCTTATAATTTAAGGAGACGGTTAAACTTGACAAAAAAGAGTCTTTTGTTAGACATTATTAAGTTTTTACTACTTGCTAAGTGTACGGATGACTGTAGCCTGCTACATCATTCAATAGGATTGCAGATATATTAACTACATATGTTTGAACTTGCGTACATCGTGTGGTTCTATTTTCTAATTTTCTCCAAAAGAGAAAAAAACCAAGTAGTAAAAGTGTCCAATACCCGATTGTAACTCTATGGATGGATGGGTTTTTGCCTCTTCAAGTGGGTCTAACGAATAGTTTTGAATCTTCACCCGTGCTACTCAATATTGAGCGAGTTCATTGACTGGCATTTTAGGCTAGAAGTGATACTGTCTGGGACCTGCTCCCAGAACCCTTTTGCTTAAATGGGCTGATGAAACTACAAAAGCGAGACAGGTAATTTCCTTACGAGGAAGACAGAGCAGTCTTAGTAGTGCAAAGTGAACGGACAGAGACTGGTGAGTTTGGTTTGAAAGCTGTGAACGCGATGGACCAAGTCCAAAAGGGCAAAACACTTTTTCGTATCTGATGGTGTGGTTGCATCTGCACATGGTGATTGTGTTATCAGCACCTACTATTTCTCCATTTTCTTTTCTACTTTCAAAAAGAAAAGCAATGCCAACATCGTACAGGTTTTGTGACAATAGCCGACAGAAAGATTGCCTCGGAGGGGATGAGATCTTCTGTTTTCGTCCCTATTTCACTTCGGTATCTCACTCATCCAAACTATTAATCCAAGTTGAGAAGTACTTTTATGAAGCTTTCAACCAATGTACCGCCTGAGCGACTCACTGGCCCAACTTAAGCCCCAAGGGCCTATAGACTTTCTGGGCAGACTTCAATAAAGGCATTTAGTGAGAAAGATCGGCTAGGCCCGAGCCAAGTTCAGCTCTAACCAACCCAAAGGTTTGTAAAATAAAAATTTTATGATGAGCAAACTTGGCCAATAGGCTCAACTTTAAGGTGTGGCTCGACCGCCATTGATCACTTCTAAGGTCTAGCTCCAATTTACAAGATTTGTGAGCCAAAAGGATTTTTAGAAAGTGTATGCAAGTTCAAGAACTTGATGTAAGTTCAGAGACTTGATTAAACGGATTAAAAATTCAAAGATTTGATTAAATATATACAAATTAAAATACCAAATTTACATGCACCCATGAGAAAAGGGCTTCAGCAGTAGGATAAGTTTGGGTATTTGTATATATTTAATCAAAATATAGACAAATTCAAATATGTAATATAATTGTTGAGATGAATGAGTAAGTTATGTTAGAAAAGTCCCAAATCAGAGAATTTGTGTGATGTGGAGCAGCCGATATCCTAATTGATCCATAACCCATTAGTTTAAGTTTTTGAGTGAAAGTGGGTCTAACAGGATATGTGGAAGGCCTTAGATTTGAACTCTCTTTATGCGATTTCCACAGGCGAAGGTATCTGGTTTCTGCTGCACACTCCTAATATAAGGTCTCAAAGCCGATGGTAGATTGTTAGCCCCCAACCTGTTTTGGTGTTTGGTGAATATTTCAAGGAAGGAATTTGGTGACCAACGCGGTTTTCGGGCAATTGGGTGTTGTGGCATAGTAATGTGGTCCTGACGACAGCTTATAAGGATAGTTGAATTAAGATAGAGCAAATCTAATACTGAGCTCACACGTGAAAGGGAAATTGTTGAGATGCACTAGTGAGTTGTATTAGAGAAAAAATCTCATATCAGTAAATTGGTATAGTATGGAGCAGTTAATATATCCTAATTGGCTCATGACTCATTGATTTGAGCTTTGAAGTGAAGGTGTGTTCAATTAGATATGTTGACAAGCTCAGACTTGGACTCTCCCTTGGTGATTTCCCCAGGCAAATGTATTGAGCTTCTGCTGTGTGCTTTCAACATTTACTATGACAATATTCTTCTTCAATTTTCTCATACTTATTTTGATATTCCAAGAATATGAAAATTAGGGATGTCAATGGGTCGGGTAGGGTCAGGTTTTGATGATACCCTACTCGACCCAAAATCTACAGGGTCATGCTTGACCCGCCCAGACCCACCCTAGGACCCTGTTCAGCATACACCCCAAGGGTCAAGTCGAGCCGAACCAGGTCGGAGGGTTTTTTTTTTTTTTGGCAGATAGATTGCAACCTCGAGCAACAGGACCTTGGCATCATAATTCTTGTAAAGTTTATGTTTTATCCCCCTACAGGTTTAATACCTTCCTCAACAAACTATAAGAATACTTGAGAAAATCATCTAATTGGAAGGGGAACAAGAAAGCACAAAAAATTCAAAAACAAAGAGACTAAGTTACACGAATGAAGAATATGACAGGATCATGCCATGCTGCGAATATCTATACTTGTACAGTCATATCGGTATCAACACACACCATGCAAGATCTCGTTTCTCCAACCCCCAAAAGAGTTAAGACGAACGTTTCTCTTCAAGACTTCCTCTGTGCTTGAATCGACTGGCTCTGTTCAACAATCGACCGATTTGGATCCCTCAAAACCAGCGTCGTCACTCTTGTTCTGTCTGTACAAGCCTTTCTTCGGTTCAATTCTCGAGCTCCAAACAACCAAAAGAAACCACCAGCTTCAATAATGGAGACGCTCAATTCACGCCTCAGTTCTTGACCAAAAAAAAAAAAAAATTCACGCCTTAGTTCAGGAACAATTCACACCCAAAAACAGCAACTTCAGTTTTTACCCACCAAACAACAAAAAAAAAAAGAGAAAAAGAACAAAGAAAAGCAAAGGGATTGCAACGTAAGGCAAATTAATCGGCTTCAGAAGCAGAAAGAGCAATTACAACTTGTGGAGCAGCTTACATGAGCAGAAAGAAGCACCGATTGGATGGGGGGAAGCACCAGGTCTGGACATCGTTCAAAACCCAGGAGAAGAGAAGCAAAGGAGGATAGTCGAAAAAGCTTCCAATTAGGAGCTGAACGAACCCAGAAAGAGAGACCGGAAGTGAAGAGGAGAAGGAGCTCGAATTGAATATGTGCTCTTTGGGAGATCGAACTGGATTTTTTCGAGAGATAGAAGAGAGAGTGATTCAACTGAAAAGACAACAAAGTTCAAGTATACACAAGCGAGAGCGAGCTTAGAGAGAGAGAGAGAGAGAGAGAGAGAGAGAGAGAGAGAGAGAGATTACCGGCAGCACCGTGGGCGACGACCGGCGGTGATGGATTGACGGCTGAGCTGTAGGTGAGTCCGGGGAGGGAGCGAGCGAGCGAGCGTTGCAGGGAAGGTAGGGGTGCGCGCATGATAACCATTTTGTTCCAAAATGAGTTCCTGAAACAGAAATAGATTTTTCTATTTCTGGTTCCAGGATGAGTTTCTGAGAAAAGAAACCCGTTTGATAACGATAAAAAATTTCTATTTCTGGAACAGAAACCCGTTTGATAACAGCACAAAATTTCTATTTCCTGAAACAAAAACCCATTTGATAAACAACACAAAATTCTATTTCCAGGAACAGAAATCTATTTTTTTAGAAATGAAATAAAAATAATTAGAAAATCCGAAAAATTCCTAAAAATCTCAAAAAAATTCAGAAAATCCAAAAAAATTGAAAAATTCCAGAAAAATTCATCAAAATGTCGAGAAAATAAAAAAAAATTCAGATTTCAGGAAAATAGGAAATTTGTTGAATTTTTTAAAAAAAAATCAAGAAATCAAAATTTTCAAAACTTCACAGAATTGCTTAGAATACGTGTGGCCACCCACTTTTTGAGTAAATTTTAATTTTTTTGAGTTGCCCAAAAAAAATAAAAAAATAAAAAATTTCAAAGCTTCACAGGATAGCTTAAAATACCCGTGGCCAACCATTTTGAGTGAAATTTAATTTTTATGAGATTCCCATAAAAAAATAAAAAAATAAAAAATTTCAAAACTTCACATAATGGCTTAGAATACATGTGGCCACCCACTTTGAGCGAAATTTAAAATTTTTTAGGTGCCGAAAAAAAATAAAACAATAAAAAATTTCAAAACTTCACAGAATGGTTTAGAATACCTGTGGCCACCCACTTTGAACGAAATTTAAATTTTTTTAGATGCAAAAAAAATAAAAAATAAAAAATTTCAAAACTTCACATAATGGGTTAGAATACTTTTGGCCACTCACTTTGAGTGAAATTTAAATTTTTTGAGGTGCCCAAATGGTATTTTTGATTTTTTGCTTTTTTAATTTTTATTTCGTCACCTAAAAAAAATTAAATTTCACTCAAAGTGGGTGGCCACAGGTATTCTAAGCCATTCTGTGAAGTTTTGAATTTTTTTTTTTTTTTTTTTTCGGCAACTAAGAAAATTTAAATTTCACTCAAAGTGGGTGGCCACAGGTATTCTAAGCCATTCTGTGAAGTTTTGAAGTTTTTTATTTTTTTATTTTTTTTCGGCACCCAAAAAAATTTAAATTTCCCTCAAAGTGGGTTGCCACAAATATTCTAAGCCATTATGTGAAGTTTTGAAATTTCTGATTTTTTTAATTTTTTTTGGGAATCTCAAAAAAATTAAATTTCACTCGAAATGGTTGGTCACGGGTATTCTAAGCTATTCTGTGAAGTTTCGAAATTTTTTATTTTTTTTATTTTTTTGGGCATCTCAAAAAATTTAAAATTTACTCAAAAAGTGGGTGGCCACATGTATTCTAAGCAATTCTGTGAAGTTTTGAAATTTTTAATTTCTTGATTTTTTTTTGAAAAAATTCAACAAATTTCCTATTTTCCCGAAATCTGAAATTTTTTTTATTTTCTCGACATTTTAATGAATTTTTCTGGAATTTTTCAATTTTTTTGGATTTTCTGAATTTTTTTTGAGATTTTTAGGAATTTTTCGGATTTCTAATTTTTTTTGTGTTTTTTGAAGAGAAAGAGTTCTTTCAGAAATGATTCTGATTTTTGTTCAAGAAATAGAAAACCTACTTTTTTTTTGTTCTGATTTCTAGTCCAGAATCGGTTCTGGAACAAAAAGTTGTTCCAGAAATAGAAAAATGAAATTGCGTTACCAAACGGGTTTTTGGTCCAAAATTATATCTGGGAACAGAAAACTAGTTCTGGACAGAATCAGAATGGTTACCATGCGCTACCCTAGGATTTCGTCAAGCTCTGCAATTGTGCAGAAAGAGAGAGAGAGAGAGGAGAGAGAAGGGGAGAGATGAGAGAGAGAGAGAGAGAGAGAGAGAGAGGGAGATGTGTGGACTGTGGCCCATGGATAGTCTCGCAGTGTCAATGGGTCGGACCGGTCCCTACCCTAACCCAGTAATACCCACGTCTAAAAGCCCTACCCAAAAATGATAAAGCCCAACTCCAAAATAACCTAAATTTTAGGGTTCGGTTGGGCCGGCGTGAGTCGGGCCGAGCCAGTTATAAGTAAATCAAGAAAGAGTTTCTTCTACTTGTATCATCTCTTTCTCGCCTCTCTTCAAAATGCTATCAAAATTTTACGTTTAAAATGTGGGTTATGTTAACGATTGTCCTTCAGGCATCTGCCTGAGATATTTACTAATAAATGTTTCGATCTCTAAAGTTGTGGTTCTATTGAACACGAAAAAAATAGTGGATGGGAAACTATGAGGTTACTTTTAAATGGTTTCTTAAATCAATGGAGGTATCTTAACAAAATCCTTAAAATATGTGGATGAGAGGACACGCATGTAGATTAATCAATTCTATATGGGTAAGAATAAGTATAATTTATACATCAAACTTCATTCATCTACATAGTATATCTATTGATGGAATAATTATCAAATTAGTCATAAACATATTGAACGAATTAAGGGTGATCATAGTTCCAGGGTATAACCTAGAATCGGATCGGTGGGAACCTGTCTGGTTCCATGTACCAGGGTATGCAGGGTAGGTTCCATATTCTAAAAATTGAGGAACCAGTATCAACGGGTAAGTTCCAAGTTCTAGGTAGGTAGAATTCGGAACCCGAAACCTAGAATAAGTTTTTGTGTTTTTCTTAGTTTATGTCTTCGCACAATCCTGTGGTATTCTATGGCATTCGATGGTGAGTGTATACTATGGAACCACTAATCTGAGCTTCCATTTTACGACTAAGACTTGTACTTTGTTAATGTTTCATATTCATCGTGTGTTTAAATATAAATTATGATTAATGGATTGTAACAATAAGTTGTGGTCATTAAAGGTGATGATTCACTGCAATCGTTCAATAAATAATACAAATAAAACCTGGGTAAACCATGGAACCAAACCTAGAACCTGTGAAATGGTAGGTTTTATGTTCCAAGATATGCAAAGTAGGTTCCAGGTTCCAGAAAAAGAGGAACCTATTTCAACAGGTAGGTTTCCAAGTGGAACTTGTATGGAATTTGAAACTACTCATCCCTAGAACGAATGACAATTTAGTCCAAAACCTTTCAATGTTTCCAATGTATTTCTAAAACTCTGTGTGATTTTCCTATGTAGTCTTTTCGGTTGAATTTTGCCTAAAGATACTGATGTGACGGTACAATTGTCACCAGTAGTTTTACGTAACACGATTGGCATCTCAAGTGGAAGAACTTAAATGAAATGATGTGTGATGGTTGGTCTGGGTTCCAAGTTCCAAGTTCCTAGAACCTGTGACAGGGTAGGTTCTACGTTCCAAGATATGTAGAGTAGGTTTCAGGTTTCAAAAAAGGGGAATCTATTCCAACGGGTAGGTTCCAAGTTTCCAAGTGAAATCTATACGGAATTTGAAATTGCTTACCCCTAGAACGAATGACAATTAAATCTAAAACCTTTCAATGTTTCCAATGTATTTCTAAAACTTTGCGTGATTTTCCTATGTAGTCTTTCCAGCTAATTTTTGCCTAAAAAAACTGATATGACGGTTTAGTTGTCGCCAGTAGTTTTATATAGCACGATTGGCATATGAAGTGGAAGAACTTAAACGAAATGATGTGGGATGGTTGGTCATTCCATCTGAAAAATCTGTTCATTGTGTAGGGCGTTAAAGAACGTCTATTAACTTTGCTTTACTTAATCATGTAGTGGGTTCATATTGGCATTAGGACAATTCTGATTGGAGTCTTAAAATTTTTGGTAACCAATATTGCACTTGAATCTCAAAATTTCAATTCATTCATCTGAGTTAGAACTCAGATTACGTTTACTCTATTGGTTTTTCTTTGGATAGAAGGTCTTACATGTGGATAATTTACAATCATAGGTTTCACCAATATTTACGTTCAGGTAATTTTACATGTATGTACTATTCACAACTTATAACCCACAAACAAAAGGGGTGGGGGTCAATTGACAGAATTAACAAAATTCCTTATTTGCATTTTCGATGGAAGTTTTGAAATTTAAATGAACGAAACGAAAATTTTAGAAGTCAAGTGTACTATTGCACAAGTTTTAGGGCTCCCGATAGGATTGTCCCCATGCATTTAAACAAGTTCACCACTTCGTATGTGTTTCCAATTCAATTTCCTACAGAGTCATTTAGATTATGTCACCTCGATTAATTATTTTAATTATTAAAAGAGATTGGACCTCTAAATCCTTAAAATGTTTAAAAAATACTGTAGTTTAGAATTTAGTTGACAATATTCTCGCCTTGTGCAATCGTCTTCTCTAAGATTGTGAGCTATCAAAAAACCAGTGCAGTTTGAATTTTACATCTCATTACTTGCTTGGTACACCTAAAAGTTGCCTTTTCTGAGAATTAAATCAAATATCATAATGGTAATGGGAGCTAAAATCACGATTCGTTTAACCTCCATTTCTTTCTGCGAGACATGGTACTTCAACATGTTTAGCCTCTTTGACCAAAATAAGAAAAAAAAAACATGTTACCTCAAAAAAACGTCTGAAAAGTTTCGCTCCTTGGCTTCTTCTCTCAAATATGTAATTTCCCTTTTCTAGTGATCCCTTTTTGTTTGCTTTATGTTGCAATTGCAATTGACACCACTCTTTTCGGCAAGTTGCTCTTCTTATTACGACAGGGAAGCCCATTTAAATAGGTTAATCACAAGCCCCCGAAAAAAGACCCTACTAATCTCATGGTTCAGATAACACGCGCGCCACAACTTAAATATATAATTTAAAACAGGAAATTATTTGCACCTAATGATGTGAGGAAATCAAATCGCTCCCGTTCTCCAAATCCACACGCATATCTCACTTGCACACATCTCGTTTCTTGAAAACAAAACGAGAAAAGAAATGAGAATATGGTTTTTCACTCTACCTAGTTGTTCACTTGAACCAGTCCTCCTCCACTGGACCTTTTTTAGGCCTCAGTTGGATGGCATTACCTTTCGCTTCCTTGCGGCATTATTAGTAATGATTCACTTGCGCACTAATCTGCGAAAACGCACTTGGAACAACTGAAAGAAATATGGTCGTCAGAGGCATGATTAATCTCGAAGAATGCCATTATTTCTGAAGATACCATCTCAGTTCAGTAGTAACCAGTAATCAAAGACGGTGCAAGACTTACAAGACGAGTCTTTGGGCAATCTACTGTTTGTCACTGCTTGAGATCGATCTAAATGCTTGGCCTTCGATCCGAACCGAGAGAAATGATTGAGAAAAATAGTGGGTCAGAGCAAGTTTGATTCTATATATATATATGTTGGTACCCATCTATCGATTTTGGACACAAAATGCAATCAATCTTAATGCATTCAAGTTTGACTAATTGTCGATCTTCTAGTTCGGTTATTTAAATGAAAATGGTTCGTTTTGACCAAAGAAAAATGAGGGGTGTCTTTTTTTTTTTCCGAATGAAAATTCAAGAGTTTAAGGGTGAAAGTTTATAGGAATATCTCTTGACAATTAGGCTCCATTTGTTTTATGAAAAATAAATGATTTGAAAAATATTTTCCTAAAAATGATTGCTTATATTGTTTACAAAAATTAATAAACGAAAGAAAATTTCATCATTCACGAAAATACTTAAACATAAATTGTTATTGATAATAAAAATATTTTTAATTGACTGATTATTTCAAGCGATACGAGTAATCACTTTTAGAAAAATAATTTTCAAATTATTCATTTTTTCGCGAAACAAACGGAACTTAAGTAGTAAAAATGACCTATGAGAATGTAAAAATGTTTTTAGAAATGATTAAGAGAGAAAAAATTTAAAATACTAACATAGATATAGACATTACATTTATTTAATAATATCTAAAGATATAAGTTGTAATAATTCCACAAGAACGAGAAACTGTTATATTTATAATTTCCCGTAAAATTGACTCTATTATGCATGATATATGCTATGATATAGTTACTGAAAAAGATTACTTATACATGTATAGTTCAATGTGGAGATATAAATTGACTTTGTCACTTATAAATTTATAATAGAATGCACCAAACTCCCTTCTATATTGCCTAGTCTCGTTGTATATTTGACAAGTATTCCTCACTAAATAAGCTTCTATGTGACTTGCTGTCACTTTCATCCCCAAGTCTGTTTCCAGAATCATCGTCCGAATTGTAATCTTCTACCTCAACGATAGTCTCTACCTAGATGAGTCAAACGACTGAATTGGGTCAAATTTGGATTCCAAAATGGGTTGGACTCAAATTAACCCATTTTTATATAAATACAATTTTAGCAACTCATGCCGGACTCGATTTGGATTCAAATCAAGCACCGATTCTTAGCAAATTTTCCCCTTATATGTGGAAATAGCATATTGAAAACAAACTAACTAATTAAAAAAAATTGAACATGAAAGCAATTAGCAAATAAGAAATTACTAAAAAATCTGACGAATCAAGCTACTAGAACACATATCCTATTATTTCTCCTAGTTCTAGAAATCTGATCTAATTTAACAAAAGAGACCATACCTAGGAAGATATATATGACGAAAACTTCTACTCTCATAAGCCCTCAAAGATTTGAAAATACTCAAAGATATGAAATACTCAGATCAATCAAGATTTAATAAGGAAATGTACCAAATACCAACAAAGAATCAATTTTGTGCATCCACCCCAAATTTTTTGAAACATGTAAATGCTGGTAATTTAGACTATTATATGCAAACGAAATCTCGTCATTGGAATGAAATGTGCTGATGATTTGAGGAGACGGTTAGACTTGACAAAATAGAGTTTTTTGTTAGACATTATTAAGTCTTTACTACTTGCTTCGTGTATGGATGATTAAAGTTCCTGCTATATCATGCAACAGGATTGCAGATAGATCTATATTTGTCTGGACTTTCGTTCTTGACTAATTTTTTAATTTCCTCCACACAAAAAAATAATAAAAGTGTCTAATACCTTATTGTAAATTTATGGATGGATGGGATTTTTCCAGTTATGGATAACTCTCTTCCGGGAGTTTAACGAATAGTTTTCAAATTTCACACATGCTACTGCCTATCAGCGGAGTGATTCGCAAAATTCTAAATAAAATATATTTTATTCAACTATGATGTAACTGCGAGTTGCTTGATATATTCATTCCAATTTTAAAATGGCGACTGGCTTATTGTAAAATTTTAACTAAAATTTTAAAAGTGGGTAATGAGAGTTGGCGATGAGTACTCATACTTAAACTAATCCCGATTGGTTAATTATCTGGAAAGCACACAAAGAACAAATCATGGTTCTTAGCAATCTTCTTCACTGCATGAGGGGAGGGAAAGCAAGTAAAAGTCTTCCACCATCTTGCTTGCTTATTCACAAATCATGGATTGCACAGATTTTCGTGTTTTTTATTTTTGTCTGTCCTACTCTAATTCTCAACTCATTCTTGAACTTTTACCTTGTCAGACTTTTATCATGTCTCTTTGTAGAGCGTGAGAGTCGGAATCCAAATTTTGTTCAATCAAAAAACTTTTGAGGTCTAAATTGAGCATTTAATGGGTTAAAGATGGGTCTATCACATATCCATTAAAGCCCAAATTTTAGTTGGGCTTTGTTGTGATAAACCCATTACATCCTTTAATTAAAGTTTCAAGTAACCCGCATTCTACTTGGTTCATTTAATATAGGGATAATGACACAAATTGTCTCTAAATTTTGGCCAAATGTGCAATGTCGTCCATGAACTTTTAATTTGTTCAATGTGATCCTTGAACTTTACCCTAATATTTGATGTGGTATCTGAACTTTTAATTTATTTAATATGGTCCACGAACCTTTACTATATCTTTAATTTAGTTCTTGAACTATACGAAAATATTCAATGATGTCCTTTCATTAGTTCAAGTTCAGAGACAATATTGAACATTTTCATATAGTTTAGAGACTAATTTGAACATATACCAAAAGTCTAGGGATCATCACATTGAACAATTTAAAAGTTCATGGAATACATTGTATATTGTCTAAAGTTTAGGAATCACATTAAACAAATTACAAGTTCAAGTACCAGATTGCATATTAGATCAAAGTTGATGAACCATTTGTGTAATTTTCCCTTAAATGTAAGTCAAAACATAATCATTAACCAATTTTGCCATCTCTCTCTCCACCTTTGCATGAACCTCATCTTGCCTCACTTTCGGTATTATTGAACCTCAAATTTATTTCACCCTATACATAGAATTGAACCAGTGGAAGCGTTTCCCTTTACTATCTCATCGCTAGTGATCGAGTCTTGCCGGCCACTTTACACCATAAATTTACTTATGTTGTAGCCTAACTTTTTAGTGGCCACTAGGGGTGAGCGGTTTCAGGTTCCACACGGGTTCCACCTCAAACCTGAAACGTACCCGTTGGAACAAATTCTTCATTTTTTGGAACCCAGAACCTATTCTGTCATAGGTTCTAGGGTTGATTTCAAGGTCTACTCAGGTTTCATTTTTATTATTAATTGAACGATTACAGTTAAACATCACCTTTTATGACCACCACTTGCTGTTATAATTCACTGATCGCAACTTATATTTAGACACACAAAAAAATGAAACATTAACAAAGTAAAAGTCTTAGTCATAAAATGGAAGTTCAGACTAGTAATTCCAGATTATATACTCATCATCGGGCTTATGGAATACCGCAGGATCGTACGAAAACATAGATCAAGAAAAACACAAATTTTTTTTCCAGTTTTTAGGTTCAAGATTCGAGGTTCTAGATTCCACATATCTAGAACCTAAAACCTATCCGTTGAAATAGTTCCCCAATTTTTGAAACCTGGAACCTACCCTGCATATCTGGAAACTTAGAACCAGATAGGTTGCAGATTCTACCTTGAAATCATGCTCACCCCTAGTAGCCATTACCAATTTCGCATACGTTAAGTCACTAGGGTCTACATTTGTGCTAAAGTCTCCTCCTTTTCTGCTTCGAAAACTACCTTGTTGAACTCCATCACTCCACTAAGATGAAATATGACTCTGAAAACGTGCGCCATCTATAAAGGTAAGATACATAAGAAAATGCAATTTGCGCGACTGAGACTTCAGAATCTTCTCCTACACAATCGCAAAAATTGGCCCATGATGGATTTAGTAGAGAAGAACTGCTAGGTGCTAAACATAGATAAATGACCACTGAAATGGGTTTTAATTTGCTGAACCTGCTGTTCTAGTCCTTATAAATGAGTGAACTTTCAGACACCACTTATACGGGCTTTAATTAGTCATCTCAGTTCCCTATTCGCCTTTGGAAAATTGTTGCTTACAACACAACTTAAGCAGATTGCTAGAAATAAATATGGTGCAAAAATTCAAGGCCAATACTGGTACGATAATCATTGATCTTCTGTTATTTAGAATCTAGAAACTAGAGAGCCATTGCGCTATTCATGCGGTCATCGCAATCATGGAGTAAAGTGAAATGAGGGTTGCATCCCATAAAGCCAAGAGAGATACGAACTATAGTCACTCGGGCCCTCCTTCATCATTAGGTTGTTGGGGTCATAGACGTGCATTATCTCAGGAGCTGAAAATTGGTATGGGCGAGCCCAAATCGACATCGGTGGAAGATGGGGAACGGTGGGAAGATTCTGATGGTCAATTTGAGGGCCTCCGAAGCCAGCATAACCGAGGCCATTTCTTTGGGGATAGATGCCGGGATTCATGTCTCCCTTCCAGTGGACAGCATCAACCCTCCTGCCCATCAAGGTCCTCTCTCCGATGTTTGTGTTAAGATAGTTTCCGAGGGTCCTATCTCCTTCGAAGAAAGTGGAGGGCATTGAATCCGCAGGACGTAGGATCTGTATATCATTGTCTGAGTATGTCTTTGAGCCATTTTCTTCTTGTTTCGGATTTGCTTTGAAGTCTGGAAGAAAAATCTCAGCGTATTTACCAGAACCTGCCAACTTCTTAATCAAAACATCGGAGTCCACCGTGCCGGAAACAGTTACCAACTCTTGTTCTGGATCAATGTGTACTGAGTAAACACCTGGACTCATATAAAATTAACAATTTAAGCAGATAAGACACCAACAAACGCTCGAGATATTGAAGAAATATGTCAAGAGGAACTAACTACGGAACGGGAACTTGATCGGGCACCATTAAACCATCTTTAGTTCTATGATGCATCGATTTTGCAATGCTGACTCGATATTCATGATTTTACAATGCTGACTCGATATTCATTAAGCACTCGCTTGCATACTGTAATTGATACTTGACTTGAAATGCAGAAAACATGTCAGCTAATTTAGTAATCTTTAGAACATGGAAGCAAGAGACTCTCCTAATAAGTTCACTTATGGATAGTCTGAAAAAAAAAGAAGAAACAGACTCTCATCAACTGAAGTCTAAAACATGCAAACCCTATTGGGCAAAATCTAGACGAGATGAGTACCGTCAATCTTCCGGAGGAGTTTCTTCACTTTCTGCCGGCATCCTAGACAGTTAATGTGCACTTTGAGCAAATGTGTCTGCAAAGCAGAGAAAATTCGTTTTCAATGAGTCAGGCAACATGGATTAGATAACAAACTACAGGTCACCAAAGGGGAAGAGCAAAAAAGGGGAGGCTAAGATTAGAAAGAAGAACCTTTATCATTTGATGTTGACCAAGTTCATTGATTGATGCCATTCTTAGCATAGAAGTGATACTGTCTTGGATCTGCTACAAGAACCCTTTTGCTTCAATTGACGGATGAAACTCCAAAAAGTGAGACAGAGTAATTCCTTTATGAGGAAGACAGAGACAGAGAGTGTTGGTGCACAACATATGAACCGAGGCTGGTGAGTTTGGTTTGGAAGGTGTGAATGCGATTGACCAAGTCCAAAGGCATGACACATTTTCGGATTTGCGTGAATCGCAGATTCGCACCTCCACTGCCTCGTGAAGGTGTGGTTGCATCTGCACATGTTTATTTTGTTATCAGGACTGACCGTTTCTCCATTGTCCTTTCTACTTTCAAAAAGAAAAGCAATATCGACTTATGGAGCGTGGTCATTTCGCTTTTCAACGGTCAAGAATAAGATATATAATCAAATAAATGGATGGATACCATCATATCAGGAAGCATGGACAGAGAAACTGCAATTGCACCCATAAAAATGGTGGTCTCATTTGAGACTATCTTGGGCAATTCTCTACACGAACTGCACTAACATTCCATGTGAAACCACCCACCAAATACATTACCTCCGATTAGACCGTATCACGGGCTGCCAACCTGAGCCACAACGACCTGTAGACTTTTCGAGTGGTCTCGGACGAAGGCATTTAGTGAGAAAACCCGGTTGCCCTAACTTGACCCGACCCCAAGGGTTTGTAAGTACCAATTTGATGATTAGCAAGCTTGGGCAATAGGCCTGACCTTAATGTCCAGCTCGACCGCCCATTGACTAGATTTGTGAGGCGACTAAGATTTAATTAGAAAATTTCAGCAAGTTCATGGGCTTAGTTAGATAAATTAAAAATTTAAAGACTTGTCTAGACAAATTAAAAGGTCACGTTTACTGTATATTCCTTTTAAATTTTATCATGTTTATTTTTAGTTTCATACTCCAAGAATATGAATATTTAATTTACAAATCAATTAATAAAAAGATCCTTCTACTTTTAAGCAGTTCTTTACTTTCTCTTTTAAAGATGCTATCTGCAATTTTTGATTAAAATTTGAGTTATGTTAATGACTGTCCTCGGGCATTTGTAGGACATATAAATTAAGCAATATTTCGATTTCTAAAGCAATGGTTCCACATAATACGAGAAAAATAGTATGGAAAACTATAAAGTTACTTTTAAATGGCTTCTTAACAAGTACAATCGAGGCATCTTTAGCAAAATCCTTAAAATATAGGGATGAGGGGACAAGTATATAGATTAATAAATTTTAGAAATAAGAATAAATATCCATTATACATGAAACTTCACTCATCTACATAGTACTTTTTGTTATTAAAACGCATCTACTTAATTTATGAATCTCAATCTCTTACCATTCACTTCTCATCGTATATTCTTGCGCTAAGTCTAAACATCTATTATCTATAAACTTTGCCTCTTCTCATTAATGAGGTCACTTAATTGTAATTACAAAAAACGATTAAATTACAGCTTCTTCGTTTTACAAATATTTAAATTTAACTTAATTACAAATGGGTTACTAATTAGGCGTATTAATTAACCAATATAAAAACTAAATAATTGATGTCAATTGCTTATATAGGCTAATTCTATTCATGCCAGAAGTAGCTTTTTGTCAATTATTCATTCTTACGTCTTTCGAATAACATTAACACATCGAACATTACGACGATAAGGCCAATGAAGAACACAACTTGCAAAATCACAAGCGCATTGAAAAGCAGGGCCAATTCCATTCAATTTGGCCATCACATGTAAACTTGAGTCCTCCTCTTCAATGAGGCCAATTAATTGCAATGTTTTCATTTGTTAAATCATTACCTAGTTGTTTTTTACCAATATATAAATTTGATATAATTACACATGGCTATTTTTTTTTTTTTTTTTGATGATCCAGGGAACCCCCGCACGGCCGACAGCCGGGAGGTAAACCCTGGGGGCGACACATGCTAGCCACCACACACGTGCACCGGTTAAGTCACCCTGCGGCACCCGGGATTCGAACACTCAATCTTTTGCGAGAGGAAGAGTGCGCGCTCCAGCAGCGCCACCCAGGCGGGTGGTAATTACACATGGCTATTAATTAGGGAAAATGCCAAAAATCCTGGGAAGTCAGCTAATTTCTCGAAGTTTTCGGCAAAAGGATGTTGTTTCAAAAATACCCTAGGAAGCCGGCAACTTTGACTCAGTTGACACCCCCTCCGCATCACTGGGGAAACAATTGGCCCCGAAAACAAATTAAGTAGTTATTCGGAAAGTGTGTGGACTTTTTCAATAACAAAAATTGTTTCCCGTTTTCTTTTGTTATTGCCGTGCAAAAAAGAAAAAAAAAATTGATTTGGCAATTTGAAGCAAATTCAAGTGTCCAAAAGGCTCTTTCTATAAGCTAGATTAGCATGAATTAAGTTCTGCCCACTTAAATTATATTCGATTAATTATGGAAAATTATGTTCGAGTATTTTCATCCTTCTTGATTTTCTTGCTCTTCCTCCTATTAATCTTTAAATCCCATCACCTAACCTAAATCCATGAAGTTATTACTACAATAGTTTTAGTTCTATTACATCTTCAGCATTATGTACTCTTCAGCCATGTCCTAAAATCCATTGTTTCTATACGGTATCATCACACTCACATTGTTTCATGCTCATATTACTAAGTTACTATTCTACTTACGTTTCGTTGACTCTTTTAAGTCATTTTTCATTATATTTATTTAGAAGCCCAAACTTTAAGCTCCGTTTATTTCGCGAACAATGAATGCTTTGAAAAATATTTTTCTAAAAACAATCATTTGTATTGCTTATAGAAATGAATGAGTGAAAAATATTTTTATTATCCACGGAATGATTAGACATAAATTGTTCTCGATAATCAAAATATTTTCTATTGACTAATTATTTCAAGCGATATAAGTTATCGTTTTTAGGAAAATATTTTCCAAATTATTCATTTTTCGTGAAACAATTAGAGCCTTAGTAATATGAAAAATTCTAAATTACTATAGCAAATGAAGTGGTGGCCAATCGTACTAGGTTCTACATCTAAAGTTCAAAAAAGCAAGTTATTCACTAATCAACTAAATTTTAAAGTATGGTTGATGTTTCTTCCTGACAACTTTACACCTATTTTAACACATATGTACTTTAACTTTTTGTTTGACATGCTTTTGAGCATTCCTTAAAAATTGTATATGCTTATAGTACCAGTAGAAGAGCAAACGCATAAGTTTTGGTCAATCTTGTTGACATAGCTGAAAGAGCACCCAAAATATATCAATGTTTTCGAATAACTGAAAAATGTAATTTATTTTGGGATAAATCATGTATGTTTAGTGCAAAAATACAATTCATAGGCAAACAGAGAATTTGAAAAATTCAAATACGACGGTACATAATTTGGATGGCTCTATGAATAACTAACTGAAAAAACATTATGTTATCGCTAACATAAATGATAAATGAAAAAAATCATATAAATTTTCATTAGCGAATCTACCTTATTTGTTGTCTCTGGTGCCGAGTCAATATCCAAATAAACAAATTAATAAGACAACTTTAGGTAATCGTTTAAGTTACACTAATTTAGAAAAAGTGTCCTAATAAAGGTTTTTCTTTTTTAACGTCCTAACGAGCTGTTGACATGCATAGGGATCAATCCTGTCCTTTCCTATTAAGGATGATAATAGATAAGATTTCAACAAGTGGTGCAATCAAGGAAGGTTATATAACTCAAATTTCTTATTATATATAGATAGATATTGATAGATCAAAGTATAAATATAGAATAGATGATAATGGTTAGGATAAGATAGTCATCTTTCAATTTTTTTGATTAAATTGTATCTTCTTTAGAAGTCAATATTAGATACATCACCGATGGAATGAATTTATTGTTACAAATTAATCTAAGAATCACATTTAATTTCTTACTATAGAATATTTCCATACGAGTTTGCCATTTGAAATGAAATGACTTTGATTAGATCACTAAATTTTACGAGTTTCAGAACATTAATTTCGCAATCGATATTCTTCATATTGTTTGATTCTAATCCCGAATCCAATTGCAAATTTTCAATTTTTCTTTTCAACACCCTCTTCTGACTTTTAATCGAACGTGATAATAAATATACTTCTCTCCTTTTTACAGAAAGGATTAGTTACTCTAAAAAAAATGAAAATATCTAGATCAGTTACAAGAGAGATTCACTCAATCTTATAGATTTTTTCAATTTTTCCGGACAGGGTTAAATCTTTTATTTTTTTGGATAAGAATAAATGTTTTCCAAAACAGCTAGTCTCCCTTCTCTATATATGGAGTTATCCTTTTCCTTGCTACGTATGTGAAAGCATCCAATATCTCCAATAGTCATGAGAGGCTCGTTTATGTTGCTGGTGGAAGTTCTCTTCCTCCTTGTTGTTTTGTGCATGCGCAGTGGCAATGTAGAAGCACTTTATTCTTCGGAAGTGCAGTTTGACATGGGAGGTCTCAGCAGAGCGAGCTTTCCCAAAGGGTTCGTATTTGGTACGGCCACATCTGCTTATCAGGTTGAAGGAATGGCCAGTGGAGATGGCAGAGGTCCTAGCATTTGGGATGCCTTCGTTCAAGTTCCAGGTGTGTTGTCTTATTATAGGGTCTATTTGTTTTGTGAATTTTTCTAAAAATGATTACTTGTATGTTTGCAAAAATGAACTTTTCATCGTTTACGAAAATGTTTGACTATAAATTGTTGTCCATAATGAAAATAATTGTTTTAAGTGATGCAAACGATCAATTTTAAGAAAATTTTTTCCAATTCATTCATTTTCTATGAAACTGAGCCTAATTATTATTTTTTATTTGTTTATCCATTTATTCATTCGTTGGACAGGGCATATTGCTGGAATGGATTCTGGAGAGATGGCGGTTGATCAGTATCATAAATACGAGGTATTCTTTCTTGGGATCACAGAAGATTGGCCGTTTTCTCTTATGATTCTAGTTATAATGCAATCGCTTTAAAATCATTCAATTGCAATTTGATGAAATTTTGTCTATAAGAATTTATGGAATGTTGTCTCTTCTTATCAATGCAGGATGATATTGATTTGATGCAGAAGTTGAACTTCGATGCATATCGATTTTCAATCTCATGGTCAAGGATATTTCCGAGTAATTAATCATTTTACCTTGTAGTGAATATTATCTATTG